ATGTTACTTACTATATATATACGTTATGATATATTTTATAATTATATTTTATATAGTTAAGTAGAAATTACCCTTATATAAATACTAGATCTTTAAGTAAAGCCTTTTAATAGTTAACTTTATATTAAAAACTTATTCTTAGTTAACTGTAGTTAATATTATATAAACTTTTTTACTTAACTAGTATAATTTAACACGTATTATATTACGTTTATTAAAAAAGTAATTAGTTATATCTTATATAATATTAAGTTATAATAAAAACCCTTAATTAACTAAGTTAGTAATACATATAAAATTTACTATTTCTTTTATTAAAGTTAACATCTTTAATTTTAATTATATTTTACTTTATAGTTTTTATTTAATGTATTAGTATTAAAGTAATATTCTTAGGATATTATAGATAAAAGTAGCTTTTTATATAAATAGTTTTAGGTTATTTTTAAAAGCTTTAAGTATTAAAATAATACAAGTTTTATTTAAAAAAGGTTTTATTATTATATATAAAAAAAGTAGATATAAAAGTAAAGAGTATAGAAATAAGGAGAAGGTAAGCTATCTACTATAATAGGCTACTTACTATATATACCGTACATGCATAGCAAGTGGCCTATCATAGCAAGTGGCCTACTTCCTCCTTTCTCCTTAAACTTTAACTTTATATTAATATTCCTTTATATATAATAATAAGTTCTTTTTTAAATAAAAGTTATATTATTTTTATAATTAAAGCTATTAAAAAAGACTTAAAACTATTTATATAAAAAGTAGCTTTTATCTATAATATTTTAAGAATAATACTTTAATATTAATATACTAAATAATTATTATACTAAATAATTATTATACTAAATAATTATAAAATATAAAATATATAATAATAATATTTATAATTTTAATAAAATAAGCTTTTTAATAAAAATACTATTATATATAAAGGTTATTATAACCTTTAATTATTATAAAAGGCCTAATATAAAGTAGCTTAGTAATTATAAATAGGTTTCTATTATTTAAGGTATATATATAAATAACTAGATATTATTTTTATATATTATTATTAAAAATAAATATTACTTTTTCTTATAGTATATTAATAACTAATTTTTACTTTAATAGTATATTTATTTTAATAAAAATAAATAAATTATAAATAAGATTAGTTTAGATTAGTTATAGTATTTTAAAAAGTATATAAAGTCTTATATAAAAGGTATTAAGTAGCTTTTAATTTTTAATAGCTATAATAGCTATAAGTCTACTAAGTTTAATAATTATTATAAAAAATATAATATTATTATTTTTATATACTTTTTTATTTATTATATAAGCTTTAGCTTTTTAATATTAATTATTTTAGTTTATTAAAGGTATTATATAATAAAAAAATTAAAAAATTAATATAAATATAAATTATATATATTACTAAAAATAACTTTTTTTATTTTAATAAATAAAAAACTTTTATAAATTAGCTTTTAATAAGTTAACTTTATCTTTTTTAATTTAAAAGTAGTTATTTTTTATTTAGATTTTAAACTAAAAACTTTAATATTATTTAATTTATATTTAAATAGCTAAAGCTTTTAAAATATAAAGATATTAACTATAATATATAATACTATATAAAGCTATATATTATTTAAAAAAAAGATTATTAATTATTAATATAACTTATTAACTTATTTATATAAAATAATTAACTTATAAGCTAAAAATATTAATAAATTAGTATATAAATTAGCTTTTATTAAAGCTAAATATTATAAGCTTTATATAATAAATAAGATATTAAGCAAATATTAGAGGGCTAAAAAAACCTAATTATATTTTAGAGGGTCCCTTAATATAGCTAAAGTAGAAGTAATCTAGGTAAAAAAAGGGGTTATTAATGCTAGAAGTGAAAATATGTGCTAAGAGGGGGCTTATATAGAGGGGAGTAAATTGTGTAGTTAGTAATATAGTAATTATAAAAAGACTAGATATAACGTATAAATATGTCAGGTAGTATAAGAGACCTCTAAAGAAGAGGATAATAAGTAGTTTTAATTGATTTTATATAATACTGCTTAATTAACTTATATAAATAGCTGGAGGGTAGGTAGAGGTGCTTAGCTACTTACTATGATGGGCTACTTGCTATGTATGTACGTTATATGTTAGCTTTATTAAACTTATATCTATTCTACTTTATACTTATTATTTAATATATAAAAATAAAGTATTACGTTAATTAAAGATATTATAACTAATAAAAGCTATTTTTATATAAATGGTTTTAGGTCTTTTTTAATAACTATAAGTATAAAGTAATAGCTATAGCTTTTATTTAAAAAGAACCTATAGTTATAAATAAATAAAAACTTATTATAAAAGAAAAAAGTTAAGAATTAGGTAAACGTATATTACTTACTATAACATATCGCTTACTATTTATATATTTATTAAAGATTCTAATAAGTAACTAATTTATATAATTTACTAAACAGTAATAATACAAAATCTTAGTTTTAAATTTATTACTTAATAAGGCTAAGTACTTGAGTTATTACTTTTTTACTAGTATAGATGTTAACCTAAATATGGTATCGTCTAGTGTAATATAGCGCTAGAGCAAGTCTTGATTCACAGGCAGGTGTTGTCCGTGCCTGTTCGTGGCTGCGTGCACGGTTGGGAAACTTGACTGGCTCACTAGCCCCTCCCTCTCCCCCTCTTACCTTAGTTAGTCCCTATCGTACAGTAATTACTTGACGGATCCCTCTCTCGGTTTCCCCTTTCCCCCTCCCACTGCCCCGACCCCTGGATCGAACCGGTCCTTTGCGTAGCCGTGACACCTCCAATGCGGCGGATGTGGCAGCAGCGGGCTAGTTTTGGTTGATCAGGTCAAAACGTCTCTGGCCAGACTTTGGGCTCCCTGAGCAGGGTCGCCTTTACCCGTTTTACGCAGAGAGGTGCACAGGATGCCCTCACCTCATACCAATACTTCGGGCACCTTCTCGAACGCAGGCACGTCGCAGTCGCAGTCGCACCACCACCACCATCATCCGGACCAGGATCAGGACCAGGACCACCGATATCTGCCCCAGCAGACCCATCAGTTCCATCGGCCTCATCCCTTGCGGACGCAGCAACAGCAACGGCAACAGCAGCCATACCAGAAGCAGCACAGACTGTCCCGATCGTTCCCCTCGTCGACGAACCAACTGGCTGCCCCTCGCTACCAGACCGGCACGCGCTTCGACCGACCGCAGGCTCCGGTCTCATCTTCGCTTGGTAACCGTCTCGACGTAGGCACAGGCACAGGCACCGGCACATACTTTTCGCGGAAGACACCTTCACCACTTCCTCGCACTTCATCGCTGCTCCCACCACCATCACCACCTCTCGCACAATTCTCGACGAAAGTATCCGATTTGGTAACCCATGAGAGCACCACCACCTATCCTGATTTCGACTCCGAAGCTCCGTCATACCTCAGACCCTCCACTGCACACTCGCGCTCAAGTAGTACAGGTTTGTCGGGTGAGGGAGTCCGAAACCTCAATCGCTGGTCTGCCTCTACAACCTCGAGTCGAGCGTCAGCCCAGAACCACCACCCGACCAGTTCTCATGCGCGCCGCTTAAGTGTTGATGCTTCTGCCTTGCTTGCATCCAGCAGCACCCTTGCAAAGAATCAGTCACCTCAAAGACTGCCGAGAAACAGGAGACGGTCCAATTCTAGCGAGGCTTCTTGGGGACATACAGCGGTGGCAGCGGGTTGCGCACTTACTCACCCGCTGGACCAACTCCCGCTGACGGCCTGTCCACCGTTTTTGCACCACATCAGCTCGATTTCTCCCTAGGCACCGAACCATCGCTCTCTGGAAACACTACAAGGCCGCTGCCAGGTGCGTCTCGAGCGTTCAAGGGCGGCTCTGCAATCGAGCAAACCCAAGCCTGGGATGCATTCTCCGGCCAAGGCCGGAGAGGATCAATCGAACCGGGCCATCTGCAGCTACCCCGCGCAGCTATGCCGTCCGATCTCAACGGGGAGGCCTCTCAGATGAGAGGCCACTCTCGTAACCGGTCTCAGACCACCAAGGGGAGCACCGACACTACTGGATCTTCGCGTGGAAGGGACAGAGGAAATAGGCCACCGTCCCAGAAAGCCATGCTTTCGCGGGCACTCCAGAAGGCAAATACGGCTGTTCAGTTGGACAACGCGCAGAATTTTGAAGGCGCGAGACATGCCTACGCTGAAGCATGCGATCTTTTGCACCAGGTCTTGGCTAGGACCTCAACTGATGAAGATAGACGGAAACTTGAGGCTATCGTGAGTGCATCATCAGGCGCACGTATGGACTGCGCAGGGACAAAAGACTGATTATTCATTAGCGCCGAACATACACCAGTCGCATCGAAGAATTGGACCATATGGCTCCCGCCCAGCCAGTATCTGAAGGAAAAGCACTGCCTGCAAGACCCGAAAGCCTAGGCTTGCGTTTAAACCCTAGTTTGCAGTTTGACGACGACGACGACCTGGAGGAGTCTGCTGGGTTAGAAACTGCGGCCCTCACCAAGATTCTGAGGGAGGGAAGTCAGAGTTCACCAAGTTACGGGGGCCCAGGGTTACTCAACCCACGGATGCAAACCCTTGGGGAACCCTCGAGAAGCTCGTCTGCAAGGTTGCCAGAGCAGTATCCCTTGCAGTCCTCATTTTCAAAGTCACCACTTCGTGATCGTGCATCAGACGAGCAACTCATCTTCCAAATACCCACCGAAGATTCCTATATGCCTCCACCACTTTCACCGCGAAGAACTCAGTCTCCTAAACTTGATGGCCGAAGCAGCCCAGACGGGCCTGTGAGATCGGACTTTTCTCTCACCGCAAGGCGGACTAGTCAGAGTCCTCGTCACATACGAGACTCTAGCCGAGAGTCCAACTCCTGGTTGGACCCTATCGACGAGTCTGGGGCTCCACAACCTCTTCTGTCCATTCCCGATCATCTTCCGCCCTTATGAGGCGGAAACATATTCGCGCTCCGAGCGGCGCTACAGAAGCTGAGTTCGATGCAGCATTGGACGCAGCAGTCGAAGCAGCATATGACGATGGTTACGAGCCTATGGCAACTTCGGAGCCGGAAAACCATCGGTTGGACGATCCCGTCGTAGCGAAAGCGTTGCGCAAAGTTGAGCTGGCCAAAGAACGCGTCCGACAAACCGAAAGGGAAGCCTTCGAGCAAGCGAATGGTAGAGAGCGACGGACGCATAGTCAAACAGGACAACAACCTGACGGAGATGTCGTACATGAAGATTTCTATGATGATGGGTCTTCAGACGAAGAAGAGCGCATCCTGGAGGAGATGACGCGTGACTACTCGATTGATGAGTTTGCTTTCAATCTGGCATCTCATCAAGTTGCAGCCAGGAATTCAGGCTCAAGCAACTTGGCTGAACCATCTTGGCAAGCGACTGCTGTGTCAACCGACACCGTAAACGCGGACGCTGCCACGTCACCGACTGATGCCATTGCAACATCTAAATTTCCTGGAGCTGGAAGCCCGAAAGCCCCGCCTCCAGTGCAGGCCTTACCGGAATTACCTGCCAAAAAGTCGTTCTCAGCGACAACCTCGTCACCAGGGCCTGGGCAGAGTGTGCGGAGCAGACGGATGTCTGGGCAAAATCCTAAGCAACTAAAGATTGAGACTTCCAAGCTGTCGCAGTTTGGCGACCCTGGGCGGCGGTACAGTGTTGCTCAGGCATCGAGCGGGGCTCGTGGGATCAACTTCGATACTCCCGACATGAACGGCCCGGCCAACATGGACGACTCGGTGGGTAGGCCGTACTCGCCCCCGGAAGGCATAAGTCCGACTCAGCCAGTACCTCCTACGCCGCCGCTTGGACATTCTAGAAGTCGGGACAGCGAGGACTTCACTGGGAGTCATTCCGGCTCACCGTCTTTTATGCCTCCTCTGAGGAAGAACTTCTCATCTTCGAGTTTAAGAAGTATGAAGAATCGCAATCTATCATTGTCCAACTTGGATGACGCTTCGGACATGTCACCTGGCACTCCATTGAGCACCAGCTTCGGTATTAATAGCAGGTACCCGGCAATGCCCACATTGCCCACTCCACTGGCGGCGGCTTTCAGGGACAAATTTACATCGAATTCTGCCGGCGGATTATATCTATTTGATGATAACCTACATTCACCACAGAGCCCGGGTTCGCCCAACCCACTTCAAGCCGATGCCCCAGTCCCACTCGAGCCCTGTCCAACAGACTACCTGCTAAGGCCATTCTGGTTAATGCGGTGCTTGTATCAGACACTCGCTCACCCTCGTGGAGGCTATTTAAGCAATAAGCTCTTTGTTCCAAGGGATGTGTGGAAGGTGAAAGGAGTCAAGATCCGGAATGTGGAGGACAAGGTGGCCACGTGTGACTATCTCACGGCGGCGCTCCTTAAGTTGGCGAGAGTCGACACGTGCGATGCTGATGCTGTACTCGAGGAGATGCAGTCCTTGGAGGGTATCTTGGAACAAGTCCAAGCCAGTTTGACTCGAAAGCTGGGAACCGATGTCGGCGTTCAAAATTCCACCATGCTCTTTCAAAATGCGTCTAATTCGGCCGAAATTGAAGCGGCAATCAGCGTACCGCGCTCAGCCAGTGTTTCAGGGAAATCTTCGTCCTTTTCGTGGCGGAGATTACGATCCAAGAATTCGGCCGCGGGTTTAAACAACTCGTTCAACGCTAAAGGGAACGGGCTAGAAAGTGGTAAGGAATCTCCAGGTGCGGAGACGCTACCCATGACGGACCATCCAACGAGTCGCCCGTCAAGAAGAGATCCGGGCAATGCGCAATTCACAGGACCGAACGCACATTATATGGGATCTCTTGCCCGACTGTTCGATGCTGCTCAGGCAATTGGTAGGAGCCCTTGTGTTGCCTTTGTTTTCTTACAGACTGTCGGTCAACTAATTATTACTTGCAGATCAAATCGCCCGCCAGGTCGAGGATCCTGGCTTGAGGCATGCCGACAAAACACAGGTTGGCCTTGAGCTGTGCACTCGACACGCGGCAGAGTTCTTTGGTTTCTTCATTTGTCGATTTGTGCTATCCGACCTGAGTGTGTTGTTGGACAAGTTCATTAAGAGGGGAGTGAGTGGGTTCTTGCATGAGATGATGGAGCATCTGTTGCGACGCGTATTGTTTACATACGTCGATGTATGGACACATGTTTCAAGCGTTCAATAGAGCGACCACATGAAGTATCATTGGGTTTAATCATCAGTACTAAATATGAGAGCGGAGATAAAGGGGCCAAACAAGAAGGCCGTATCAACACAAATGGGACGGAGGCAATCCCACGGATGCCTTCTGTGGCGGAAACCAGATACCACAAGATATACAAATCTTATCTGCATTTGATCAAAATCTGACAAGGTGTAATGAGGTTGACGTCTGGACAAAGCACCTACAGGATGACGAGATAATCAGAAGTCTAGACCTTGCAGTCCTAAATTGAAGGCATGCCGTGCCCTTCCCGGCCTGAACGGTACTGGCCAATTGAAGAGCCGGCGAGCGTCGGTATTGGACTGGGATACTCCACATGAGCTTGAAATATTGGTGGTCCATGCGTCTAATCAACGTCAAGCCTGGATCTAACCTCAGACTTATCACCTCCTTCGTCATTAGGTCATTCGAACAGCAAGTTTGAGTCTGCTCGATGCTGAGAAATATACCTTGATGCGCGGCCCCCCAGCGACGAGCGTGCGCCTTACGCGGGACCGGTTGGTCGGTGTTCCACGCCAATTGCGACGACAACTTCATACGCCTAGCAAAACCTCGACGACGCACCCTGTCCATTTCAGCAATATCTATACGCGACGGCCACAGCACCGGCCGCGGCAACAATATCCGCCGATATGGAATTGCTATGAAAATAAAAGGCTCTTCCATTGCGGCTGGCCGAATTACGCAAAGCCTGCAGCGCCTTCACGCTCCGCCCTTGAAGAACGAATTCTTGCCATACCCATTGAACGGTACCGAAACTTTTGTATCGTAGCCCACATTGACCATGGCAAGAGTACGCTGAGCGACCGTCTGCTGGAGATCACTGGAACCATCTCCGCCAGCGATGCAAACAAGCAAATTCTCGTGAGTGGTGCCTTGTGATTGCGGCGCTATATTCGCATGCCACTGAGGTTACGAAGCTGACTGAGGCATCTCTACATAGGACAAGCTAGATGTCGAACGCGAGCGAGGGATTACAGTCAAGGCCCAGACCTGTACCATGATATATAATCACAAAGGAGAGGACTATTTGTTGCATCTTGTTGACACCCCAGGCCATGTTGATTTCCGAGCAGAAGTAACGCGGTCCTACGCCAGTTGTGGTGGTGCGCTGCTGCTGGTCGATGCCAGCCAGGGTATACAGGCTCAAACCGTCTCCAACTTTCACCTCGCGTTTGCTCAGGACCTAGCTCTTATTCCTGTTGTCAACAAGATAGACATGCCGTCTGCTGATGTGCCCCGAGTTCTCGAGCAGATGCAAACATCATTCGAGCTAGAACCCTCTTCGGCCGTCCTCGTATCAGCCAAAACTGGTAAGAATGTGGCTAACATCTTGCCCGTGGTTGTGGAGCAGGTGCCGCATCCTGTTGGCGAGATCTCTAAGCCCCTACGGATACTGCTGGTGGACTCCTGGTACGACAATTTTCGGGGTGTCATTCTTCTCGTCCGCGTCTTTGATGGCCAGGTCAAGGCCGGCGACAACCTTGTCTCATTCGCAACTGGCCACAAATACACCGTTGGCGAGGTTGGTATACAATATCCGAACGCCGTTCCACAGAGTATTCTTCGAGCTGGACAGGTCGGCTACATCTACTTCAATCCGGGCATGAAGCGTATTCAGGATGCGAAACTCGGTGACACATTTACAACCGTCGGATCGGAAGATATGGTCAAGCCGTATCCGGGGTTTGAGGAACCCAAACCAATGGTGTTCGTCGCAGCATTCCCTACTGATCAGGGCGACTATACACGCCTCGCAGACAGTATAAGCCAGCTGGTACTTAACGACAGAAGTGTCACACTGCAGAAAGACTATTCAGAGGCATTAGGGGCGGGTTGGCGACTGGGATTTCTTGGTAGCTTGCATTGTTCTGTGTTTCAGGATCGCCTGAAGCAGGAACACGGTGCCAGCATCATCATCACCGACCCGACTGTGCCAACCAAAGTCGAATGGGCCGACGGATCAGAGACAATATACCAAAATCCGGCTGAGTTTCCTAGCCAGGATGAGCACCGGATGCGTGGCGCAACCGTATACGAGCCGTACGTCCACTGATGCTCCCCTATTCCCCCCCCCCATCCTTTCTCGCCATTAACTCCATGTAGCTTCGTAACAGCGACAATGACTCTTCCAGAGGAGTATTTGGGCCGAGTTATAGAACTGTGCGAAAGTGTGCGTGGGGAACAGAAGAGTTTTGAGTTCTTCCACGCCACACAGGTCATTCTGAAGTACGATATACCTGCGGCCCAACTGGTTGACGATCTGTTCGGTAAATTGAAGGGCGCCACGTGAGTTACAACAACACTGAATGGTTGCAGGCATTCCACTAATAACCAGGGCAGCAAGGGGTATGCCACTTTAGATTACGAGGATTCTGGATGGCGAGCGAGCCAGCTCACAAAGCTGCAACTTCTCGTCAACAAACAGCCTGTTGATGCAATCTGCCGTGTCATTCACACCTCTCAGGCCGAGCGCCTTGGCAGGCAATGGGTAACCAAGTTCAAAGAACATGTCGACCGGCAAATGTTTGGTATGTGCTATTCCACTATAATGTGCGTTTCATATGGTGGTGGTCTGACACGTATGTCTCCCTAGAGGTTGTCATTCAGGCGGTAGCTGGGAAACGTATTGTTGCTCGCGAAACTATCAAGCCGTTCCGAAAGGATGTGCTTGCGAAGCTTCATGCTGCGGACATTACGCGCCGTAAGAAGCTACTGGAGAAGCAGAAGGCTGGTCGCAAGCGTCTACGCGCCGTTGGAAATGTGGTCATTGACCAGTCCGCCTTCCAGAGCTTTCTGTCTAGGTGAGGTATATTTCATCGTTGGAGCTGACTAGCTCAGGGATGCTACCTATTATCGGCAGGAATTTGTGGTCATGGGGTTGCGAAAACATCTGTTACATCAAAATCATGTAAAACTTCGATGTAGTCATAACTACGACCTTCGCAACCAGCATAGCCTGTCTTGTTGTCATCTATCCTTCAGCTTGCCTGACATACAGAATGGCAAGATGCCTGATGCTTATTGGCTCTGATGTTCCAGCTTTGGTATCAGGTGACCACTCCTTGAAGTTTACATGACCGGTGTATCTGATGGAAATCGGCTACAGTCTTAACAGGCGGCGTTTTCACAGCAGCTCATTACTTGGAAATCTATAACAGTATACACTAGCTGCTGATTTCGTCATGGGGGGGGGGTGTTTCGGGGACTGGCAAGTCGGAACCGATAACTACGGGATCCGTACGAGACTTGCCGAGCCCGCCGCTGAGGGTTGATTCTAGCTGTCTAAGCTTTGGCGGCTGGCCGGTTCGATCGTCCTCATCTAGCTCGAACATTCTATAGTCGCCGTTGAAGAACCAGTATCCCGTTACACCAAGGCGTAAGAAACCGGCATGGGAGACGACAAAGACAATCTTTTCCTTGCACTCGCGAATGCTCTGAACACCCGCCTGGGCGCGCCTCAAAATGGCATCCCTCGTAAAAGCATACTCGGCTCCAGCAAGAGACGTCTTCTCTGGATACACAGGGTCTACGGTAGAAAAGTCGACGTCGGGAAACTCAGCCTTGAGGTTGATGATGCTGCTACCCGTATCACAAGGTTTCGCCGAGTTCTCTGATAAATATTAGCAGTGTGGCTTCTGAGGCCCGCTTCCCTTTCACGGGATTCTCGCCAGCTCGATGATTTTACCTTGCCATCGGGCATCGGCTCGGATGCGCACGCCCTTTTTTATCAACCAGTCTAGCGACAGGAGAGCAGTCTGAATCGTCCGTCTCATTGGACTAACGATGATAAGAGCATCCGTCTCATTGCCGAAACGCTCCAATAAACGATCTCTTAACTCCTGGCATTGCTCCAAGCCTAGAGAGGACAGGTCAGGGTCATGAATGTTCCAGTCCTGTGCTGGAATATTAGACTTTTGCATGTTCAAGATTGATTTGACAGCGGGATTGACTTATCATCAACGTTATGCAGGGCTTGAGCATGACGGATGAGCACAACAGCCTGAGGCATCTTGACAACTCGAGTGTAGTAGGCGGATTAAACGGTAGGGGAATGTCGATTTATATCACTCGCGTTGAAAAGTCGGTAATTTATTGTAAGTGAGCGCTCTGTTGAGGTAGATACTTAGTCACTCACTGACTGGCAACTAAGCCACCAGCAGCAGCCAGTAAGTGTGGATATTATTCTGAAAACGGAAGTTTTCATGTACTCCGAGGTCGGGACAGCCATTGGTGCATAACTTGTGCATATAATCTCGATATTTGAACAAAACTCATAGATGCATATATACACACTGGAGCACTTAGCTCTAAAAATGGTAGACAGATGCATGTAGCGCTTTGCGTCACTGCAGGCGGCTAAGAACGTACCTGCCCGTGCAAGCAGAGAACCCACCACAAGAAGCTGCAGAAGTGGACCTTGGGCCAAGCCATCCTGGGTGCGACGCGAGAGCTTTGAGAAGTACCTGAGAAAGCCACCTGCCATTAAGGATTAAGAGTTGTTGGACCAGTCACATGGCGCATCAACAACACCCGGCAACTTCACCCTCTTTCGAACCAGCCAAACTCCTCCCTAAAGTCTAAACCCCCAAAATGTCTGACGTTACCGAATTGTTCAAGGTGGGTTCAATCATCAGCCTCTGCCTATAATCTGTTTGCTGACCAGCGCAAAAGGCTGGCAGCGCTGGAAAGAGGAAGCTTGACGCAGTACGAGATCCCAGTGAGTTCTTCCTCCTTGCCATTGCGGCGCTATCGTGGCACAGCAGCGGTCAAGTTGACGGAACCAAGATGAAATATACAAATCAGCGAAGCTAAGCACAGCTGATGCCATCAGTCGACACGCGGGCGCAGAAGATGCAGCAGACGACGATAACGATGTCGCTGCCGGACCACCACTTGCACCTGAAGACGACGAGGACAATTACGGACCCGAGATGCCCCCCGATGATGAGGAAGGTCGATTCTTTGGCGGAGGGATAACAAAGCAGGAGTCCGAGATTCTCGACTACGTAGACGGCCGTGGTGAGGAATCTGCTGCCCCCGAAAAGATCGATGCTGGCTGGGTTCGGAAAACAGCACTGAACTTCGAGAAGCGCATCACTAAAAATGCCGAGCTACGCGCAAAGTTTGCTAATGACCCTCAAAAATTCATTGAGAGCGAAGCTGATCTCGACACCGCTATCAAAGACCTCTCCATCTTGGCAGAACACCCCGAACTATACCCCCACTTCGTTAAGTTGGGATGCGTCGAGAGCCTCGTCAGCTTGCTGGCCCACGAAAACACGGATATAGCTATCGACGCTGTCGAAATCATCGGCGAGCTCATTGATGAAGACGTCGATGCAGCGGACGAAGACTGGGACTCCCTGGTCGATGCGCTCCTGAATGCCGATTTGATCGGCCTACTTGTATCAAACTTCTCCCGCCTGGACGAGAATGATGAATCCGACCGCAGCGGTGTCTATCACGCCCTCGGTGTCATAGAAAATCTGCTTTCCAAGACGTCGAACGCGGAAAATGTGGGACAGAACACCATGCTGGTCAAGTGGCTCTTGGAAAGGGCACAACGCAAGGAATCCCCAGTGTCCCAGAACAAGCAATACTCTACAGAGCTCCTGGACATTATTGCAAACGCTTCGCCGGTGACGCGGCGGAGGTTGGCCGAGATGGATGCCGTCGACGTCTTGTTGCAGCTGGTGTCAGCGTATCGCAAACGCGACCCCGAAAAAGGAGGCGAAGAGGAAGAGTACATGGAGAACCTCTTCAACGCGCTCGTTTGCATTGTAGACGAACCGGAAGGCAAAAGCAAGTTCCTCGAGGCAGAAGGTATCGAGCTGTGCCTGATCATGCTCAAAGAAGGAAAGATGAGCAAGCAGCCAGCGATGCGTCTTCTTGTGCATAGCGTCAACGACGATATGAGTGGTGACCTTTGCCGAAAAGTGGTAGATGCCGGTGGTTTGAAGGTGCTCTTCTCCCTGTTCAAAAAGGCAACGCAGCACCAGCGGGTGATGACTGAGAGCCTTTTCGACATATTTAGGTCCTTGTTGCGTTTTCTGCCTGCTAATTCTGCAGAGAGGATCCGTACATTGGCTAAGTTTGTCGAAAAAAACTATGAGAAACTGTCTCGACTCTACGAGTACAGAACAAGATACAGATCCATGCTCGATGCGCAGGACAAGAAGATCCAGCAGGAGCGAAGTCGCATGAGCACTGAAGAGGCTGAGGCCTCGGAGGGCGAGTGGTTTCTAACGAGGATAGATGAGGGCCTTTACAGCGTCTGGAATATCGACGTTATTTTGGCGTGGCTCATCGCTGAGGATGCCGGCGCAAAGAAGAAGGTACAGAAACTATTAGCCGCAGACGAGAAAGATCTGACGGCCATCAAGGCAACACTGGAGGAGTACCGATGTGACCTTGACCTAGATAGGCCCGAGCACAAAGACCTTTCGGATATGCTCACAACGCTCATGGGATTCTTGCGCTAGAGAACGGGGGTTTGAAAGGGGTGCAGGTTAGCTAGGTGTAATTCTACTGCTACTGTAATCATCACCGGATCAAAGTGTGCGCCGTCGCCGAAGCCTTGGGCATGCCAGTTGCTAAAATCATTGTCGCATCGAGTTTCTCCACTGCTTTATTACGACCGTGTCGAACAATCCGCGTGTCTGCAGCCCCTCCGCAAGACCATTGGCTTCGTTCGTGTTTACTCTGGATGTGTACCGTAGTTCGGGTCCCGCACTATCGAGCATGTTTGCGATGCCATGCGGCAGGTTGAAGTTGCTCATGCGGCGCTTGGAGCAACAGGCTTGACCTCGAAAACGGCTTTCAAGAGATCAGCAACGACCTTGTCCTGGCTCTTCTTTCCAGCATCCTTAATCTCCTTGATCTTCCCCTCGGCCTCCTTGTTCGCCTCGTCCTCGGCTGCCTTGTTTCCTTGAGAGTGCTACAAGCATTCATTAGTCTGTCATCTCCATTGCCGCCCTTTGTAACATGGATTCCGTACCTCGGACTCGAACTTCTTGAACTCTTCCTCCTTGGAGTTGCGGTACGCCTCAATTTCCTTCTTGGCTTCGTCGCGGGCTTCCTTTACCCTCTTTGTGCGGACTGAATGGACACAGCGTAAGCATATAACAACATGTTATCGGGTTGCATCGATTTAGGGGACCTACACTCTCGGGCTATAGATACGTTGATTAGTACGTGTAGGTTGAGCCAGTACGATTCCGACCGAGAACAACGTACCTTTCTGGACAATCTTGGAGGCTTCTCTCTCCGCCTGCATCCCTCACGTTAACAACAAGGCCCATGGCATGACTTGCGACAAGGTGCACGTACGTCCAGAAGGGTCTGGATACCGGCCGAGTTCTGAGCCGACTGTAGAGTGTCGAGTTAGCATGCTGCCCGCCAGAAGGATAACGTTTCGCATTGGCATCAGGCATCCTAACCATTGTGTAGTATCGTCGTAGGTGAAACTGGTGAGCGTAAAGCAGAAATCGACCTAAAGGAAGAGGAGGGGTTTCGATACGTTGGCCGATGGATGTCGCGAGGAGAGCGAAACGAATTGGGGAGAGGTAGTGATAACTGTAGTTGTCGACAAACACAAGCAGTAGGAGAGGCAGCTCCAGTAGTAGGATGAGGTGTGTCGGCGTCGATACGTAAGGCAAGGTAGGGAACGGTACGTAGCCAGAATCACAGTGCTCAATTGTAAGCACCTGAGTACTGTGCATAGGTACTTACAGAGCGCAGTACGCTCCCCTCGACCTATGCCTGCAGCAGAGTGGAACGATAGGCAGTCAAAGACCCACCCAAAGTACCTACCTAGTTTTCATAGCTGTGAGTATGCAACTAACCGTGCCAGACACACTAGCATTGACCTCAACCTCGCCAGCATTTGGGTACATCCCCAGATGTACCCCCGTAGCCTCAGAGTGTCCATCAGTTTACGCTGGATTCGACTCGCACGGCGGGAGCTGCTCTCTGAGGACGAGGCTCAAATCCCGATATAAGACCACTTCGACCACAGTATTCGAGGTCACAGCTCCGAGGAGCGCAAACACTGAGCCATCACCAGCTTGAAGACCAGGAACCAGTCCAATTGTAGTTGGCTATCATGTCCCGGGCCTCGAAACTTACCCTCGCGGCGACGTCGCTCTTTGCTGCTAGCACCATCGTCATCGTCCACTTTCAGCAAAAATTCGAGAAAGAGGCACGTACTTCTTTGCGCGAAGGACCAAGACCTTCAAAAAACTAGCTGACCAAGTATCCTTACAGGCCATGCACCAAGGTGTTGTTCGCGACATTGAGCAGCAGCGCATTAAGCGAGAGCGCCAACTCGACTTCGATATGCAGCGCGCTCTCGAAGAAGAGTACAAACGAGAGCAGACGGTCCGAGATGCGACTGCGGCCATACCACCCGACCACAACGGCCGGTAGCGCCAGCCTTGACAAGCAACCTGGCCTCGCTCTGTTGACGATACTGGCGTGTTGACTGGTGGCACATTCGGCCCCTTGTAAGACAGAGGACATGCTGTAGGATACAGGAACTGGAGGACCTCAAAGACGAATGGAAAAGCAGGACTCAGAGATATTCCAATAATTCGACCCAAACCAGGCTAGGAGAGGATTTGGGCACATCGACTGATATCGGCTCTAAGCGCAACTGCTATTGCCTCTTCCCGGCGTCACCATCCTGCTGGAGCTGCTATCGTGATGGCTTCGGGCACTTTGGATGCCTGGGGTGATTGACTTGCAGGTCGGCCATCGAGTTGGGTATCGGTGTTTGCGTGTATATCATCACTTGTACAAACAATGTATCAAAAGTTTAGAGGCATCGAACATCCTGTTCGTCTTAAATGCCTACCCTATCTATCCTTTTTAGCTTTTTGTAATAGTACATGTCATTACTGCAAGACACGTAGAGGCGTCCATCTGTCATTCTACCACCTGCCGATAATATGGCTCGGGTGGCTAGAACTGTTGCCCAGCCTCTAAGACGCCAAATGCAATCACCCAGAAGACTCCAGCGGCTATCTTCTCAACCCCATCAGACTTCAAAGACGCAGCCTTCCTTACGCGAACGCGTTTTCAGTGCTTTACCCCCTCATGCCGCGATCTCCTTTACCTGATAGAGACTCCGGACCTGTTAGTGAACATGCGAGCCGCGATGTTCATCGACTGCAGCTCCTGGAAGAGAAGTTTCGCCGCATAGGGAATATGAATCTGCGCAATCTTCGTCTTGTTCTTGCATGGCCGGCACTCAAATGACTGCTTCGAGAGGTTTCTGTTATCTGGTTAGCACACTGCTCTACTTCATTGCGGGGTGTGTGGAGAGAGAAAGCTTACGCGATAGGCGTCATCAAGCCGCAAATCTCGCAAACGTGTACTCGGAATGCATCAGAGACTTCGAACAGTCTCTCCTTGAGGAAGGATGCAGCACCGTGAGCAATCATACAATCACGCTCCATCTCTCCGAAACGTAGACCACCATCGCGGGCACGACCTTCGACGGGCTGTCTGGTCATGATCTGAACGGGACCACGAGCACGAGCGTGGATCTTGTCATCAACCATGTGACGCAGGCGCTGGTAGTACGTCGGTCCAAAGAAGACTTGGGCTCGCAGCTTGCGCCCAGTATGGCCATTGTACATGATCTCAAAGCCTCTCGACTGATATCCCTGGTCTCGGAGGAGCTGTGAGACTGAGTCGACTGTCACGTCCGTGAAGGGTGTGGCATCACCCTCCATGCCCTTCAAGGTCGAGACCTTACTAAGCAGACACTCAATCAAATGGGCAATGGTCATACGAGACGGAATGGCGTGTGGGTTGATGATGATATCCGGCGTGATGCCCTCGGCAGTGAAGGGCATGTCCTCTTGTCGGTAGGTGACACCAATGGTACCCTTCTGACCGTGACGCGACGCGAACTTGTCACCAATCTGCGGAATCTTGGTTGTCCTAACACGGACCTTGACGTACCGGAGACCATCTTGGTTAGTGGTAACAATGACCTGGTCTACGATACCATTTTCGGTACTTCTGAGGGGAGTAGACGCGTCACGCTTGACATGCTGGGTTGTCCGCTGGCCGAGTTCCGCGTTGTCCGGGCTGATGGGCGACGTTTTTCCGATGATGATGTCTTCTCCTGAGACACGGACACCAGGGGCCACGATACCATCGTCGTCCAGCTTGTCATATGTGCCGTGTTTCAGGCGCAACGTGTCACTCCTGAACGGCTTCTCAAACTGCTCGACCAGGTTGATTCCCACACGCTTCTCACAGTCCGTGTAAGATCGGAAGAACAGACTTCGGAAGAGGCCACGATCGATGCTGCTCTGATTCATAATCACGGAATCCTCCTGGTTGTAGCCTGAGTAACAGGCAATGGCGACGATGGCGTTTTGACCGGCTGGCAGTTCTCTGAACTTCAGAAACTCCATGGATCGGGTAGTAGCAAGCGGCTTTTGTGGGTAGTAGAGAATGTTGGCCATGGTGTCCATCCTGCGCGTGTAGTTGGTCAGGAAGAAGCCCATGGCTTGCTTGCCCATGGCAGACTGGTAAGTGTTACGAGGAGACTAGTAAAATCGTTAGTCAGTGCAAGGGTGGAAGATATTGAGAAATTAACGTACCTGGTTATGATCGGGGAAGGGAATGATACTAGCGCAGATACCCAGTAGCATACTTGGGTGAATTTCGCAATGGGTATACATGTGCGTTGTGGGGTTGATCTTAGTCTTCAAACGACTGTTGGGGCCATCCGTGTTGTCCTCGACCACTTGACCTTGTTTTTGCAGCCGGTAGATCTCCAGGTCCTCGGGAGTCATGCAAATCATAGCCGTCTCCTCCTCTTCGGCGTCGAGGTACTCGATGACTCCACTATGAGCAAGTGATTCCCATGTGATCTTGTCGGCTGGGTTGTCCGGCGGATTCTCTTGCTGGTCGCGCATCTCGTTGACCGTCGCCTTTTGCAGCACAAGTGAGCCCTGGGGTACAATGCCATTTGCGCTTTGCTCCACAACGAATACAGGTCTCATGACCCTACCAGCATCGGAGAAGATCTTGAACTCGCGGTCTCGGATGTCACGGACGAGAGACACCTCATGAGAGATGACATTTCGCCGACGGGTACCCTGAACATCAGGCACCAGGATTCTTGGGTCTTGATGAACTCCAACCCAAACTCCATTAAGAAAGACCTTAGTAGCGTTGGGATATCTCAGCGGCTCGTACTCCTCGAGCACTTCCATGCCTCTTTGAATCATGTAGTCAATGATGGGCTCAGCAGGCGTGCCTACACTGACATAGCACATGAGTGACAGGTTCTTGACGAGACCACAAGCTTGACCTTCTGGAGTTTCGGCAGGGCACACCAAGCCCCAATGGGTGTTGTGTAGCTGTCGGGGCTTCGCTAGCTTGCCGTCACGACCGATAGGCGTATTTGTGCGACGAAGATGGGACAGGGTGGACGCGAAAGTGTAACGGTTCAACACCTGAGACACACCGGCCGTTGAACTCATGGCCTTCTTCTGGTCTCCCCAGTTACCTGTGGCCAAAGAGTACTTCAGACCATTGGATAGGGTCTGGGGCTTGACGCCAAGGGTCAGACTGAACTGCCGATTTGACTCAACGCAGCGTTTGAGATGGCCAGACAGCTCCTGGTTCATGCGGCGAACGATGTTGCGGAAGAGCTTAGCGAGTAGAGGACCAGCAAGGTCGAGACGCTTCTTTCCAAAGTGATCACGATCGTCAGTATCGCGTCGGCCCAGCGCACACTGGAGCAGCTTGTGAACCATGTAGCCTAGGAAGAATGCCTTCCGAGTCTCACTACCTTCGCTCTGCGAGATGTGCGGCAGAGTTTCTTTCTGCAGAATGTCCTTGGCTGTCCTCACGCGCTTTTCTCTCGGAATGTTGTGGTTGCTGCCTCGCTTGCCAATGAAGTCGAGTGCTACCTCTCTATCTTGGATACAGAAGGCCTCTTCGATGCATGGTCGCAGCATCTCGAGCATCTGGCTATCATTTCGGTCGTAGCAAATATGATTGAGGATATCCTCATCAGAAACAACGCCCAACGCTCGGAAGACGATGGCAATCGGCAAGTCGGCCTTGACGTAGGGCAGACTGCAGTGAATGGTCTGGCCATATCCACCCTTCGCTGCGTCGCCCTTGCTGTAGAGCTTCAGCATCATGCTGGAAATCAGTCGCGAGCCCTTCTCCAGAGCACTGCGAATCTCGGCGGTGTAGGAATAAGGACTTGGCTGAGCCTTCTTGAAGACCTGGACGATATTGGCGGCCGATCGTTCCTGAGCAATGAGAACCTTCTCACTGCCGTTGATGATGAAGTAGCCTCCCTGGTCGTAGGGACACTCGTTCAACATGAACAAATCATCTTCCTGCTCGCTGCTCAAGTGACAAATTTTGGACTTAACCATGATGGGCATCCTTCCAATGAAGATCATGTCCTTCATGTCATCCGACTTGTTCTTATCGGCGCCATAGTCCTCGCCACTTTCCTCCTCTTCCCACTCAAGTTTGGTGGGATGTTCGCCAGTGTTGGCAAGCTCGTCCTGCTGCTCCTCGTCGAGTTCGTTCAAAGGGATGGGTTTCTCTACCGCAATCGAGACCTTCTTGGTGATCTTAACGTAGAGTGGACTCGCATAGGTGAGGTTTCGATCGCGACACTCGTAGGGGAGTAACGTTGTGACTTTTCCGTCAGCCTCGGTAATGGAGGGTCGGGAGACCATGACAGTGCCAAACTTGACTTCATATCGACGGAGGGCGATGACCTTGTCGCTGTCGGACATAGGATTCGGCTGGTCTAAAGTGATTTGAGAGTATTCGTCAATCAGCTCTTGAACGGTAGAAGAGGTAAACTCGTCGAAAGAGTCGACCTGCTGAGAAACTAGGCCCTTGGACTCAAAGAACGAGGATATGACAGTCCAGCAGTCCTCGGGCGTGATGCTGGTGTCGTCTTCTTCGACGTAGCCATCGTAGTCGTATTCGTCATAGACATCAGCCATTTCTGCAGTTGGACGCAATGGCGCGCGTGTGTATGATATATCGTGGACAACGGCAAGACTTTTGGGGTTTTACTCGTGATCGATGGATATAAAGTCTGCCTTCCGCGTGTCGATAACGAAGGACGCGACTGGAGGCGGGGGTTGCGATCGATTGGGGGTTGGTGGCAAGAGGTGAAAAACCACGATAGTGATTAACAATCACGACGCAGAGCCCAGGCGATTTTGCCTCTTCAGCTCGGTCGGAGCATTCGCGAGGGAAAAGGAAACAAGACCAGTCGTGATTCTGGATGCCGGTGAATAGGGCGACGCTAATCGATGATGCGACGGTGGTAGGCGGTGGTGGGTAGGCGAGACAAACAATCAGCCTCGTTGGATGCTGTAATTTTCCACTTCCCAAAATCCCGTCCGGAGGCAGAAGGCAGGCTCAAGAGACGGGTCGGGAGGCTCGAGTGAACTCAGAAGGCAAGGGGGCAACACGCTAGTCTCTGTTAGTGCTGCTTAGGCTTTTGAGCACTGAGCGTACATCACTCACCAATGGGGGCCGCGCTTCGACCCGCAGGAGCCCCATAACAGCTCCTGCATCACGTGGTGTGCTGACTGCTCCATTTCGATGGTGATGACCCTCCGCGGGTCGTCGCATACCATGGCAAGGGTAAGAAAGAGCAGCGACGTCCTACTCGTTTGGGAAGCAACGGCACCATCATCCTCCGTCCCAACAAAAGGCATCTGGGATACTTCGCAGCGTCGGGCCATCTCGAGCACATGTGCTCACTACAACACCTATCTCTCATTCAGCCCGGTCCTTCCACGCCCGTTTTCGATCCACATCAATCGGGACCAAGATGATCAAGTGACCAACCATATCAGGTACCGGAGCTGGATGGAGTCTGTTCCCCTCGTCATATTCCTCAGAACCTCTTGAGCGCGCTGACTGTGCTATCCGAACGACCGGTTTGGGGCCTTGAACTAGCCGTTTGTAGTATGTTGACGTTGCATCCGCACCCTCGGTGCTCTCCTGGCTGCTGGGTTGCTGGCTATAATCCGTTAGGATCTGAACTCGGTTAGATGGTTTCGCGGATGCGCATCGCCGGCATGCGCGATAATCAAAAGGTCTTCTGCGAAACTGGAGCTGGCCCAATTTGTGGGATATGCCCGGATACGTTCGTCGGAACCGTGCTGCCGCATTCGCTTTCTTGCCAGTTGTAGCCATTTCTCAAATCCATTCATCTTTGTCCAGCAGGGGTGCTGAGCATTGGGTGGATATTGGCAGACGTGGTGATACGGAGAAGTATAAATATGCGGCATCTACGAGCTTCCGTGGACACTATTTAAGCCAGCTTCTATTTAAGTAGCATTCGTTCAGAGGTTCTTTGGCCTGCGTTATGCGTATTGTTGAATCCTATAGCTTCGCTGCGGCCCTGAGCCTGCTCACGCCCACCATGGCTGCGTCAGGTACTGGCAAATCCACAAGGTTGGTAGCCAATGTCGTCTCTTATCTCACTTGAAAGAGAGAGCTGGCTCATACACCATACAGATACTGGGACTGCTGCAAGCCATCTTGTGCGTGGGCCGGAAAGGCATCCGTTAACCAGCCGGTCCTGACTTGCGACAAGAATGACTCCCCTTTGGACCCTGGTGCAAAGAGTGGCTGCGAGAGCGGCGGCTCTGCCTATACATGCACCGGCCAAGCCCCGTGGGCCGTCAATGGCCTCGTCTCCTTTGGGTTTGCGGCTACAGCCATCAATGGCGGCACCGAGGCCAGTTGGTGCTGCGGCTGCTATGCGTGAGACTACACACTGGGCCCTTGGTCATTTTCATGTACTGATGCTCAGCCCAGCATCACATTTACGTCCGGCAAGAACAAGGGCAAGATCATGGTAGTTCAGTCAACCAACACAGGTAAGGAGGTAGCTTGAATCGGTTTCAGAGAGGTGTTAATGCAGCATCCAGGTGGTGATTTGGGCAGTAACCACTTCGACATTATGATACCTGGTGGTGGTTTAGGGATCTTTGACGGCTGCACAAGCGAGTTCGGTTTCCAGTTTCCTGGTGCTCGTTATGGCGGTGTCTCAAGCCGCAGCGAGTGCTCTGCTCTACCTGCCAAGCTTCAGAGTGGGTGCCAATGGAGGTTCGACTGGTTCATGAACGCAGACAACCCCGACTTGTCCTTTACCCAGGTCCAGTGCCCAGCAGAGCTAGTGACTCGGTCGGGTTGTCGCCGCTCTGACGACGCCAGTTTCCCTGCCTTTCAAATGCCGACCAACACCAAGTGGGAGCCGCCGCAGTCCACGGAGGTGGCGGGGCCGAACGAGCAGTGTGACAGCACTACATGGGATGCCCAGAAGAAGGTTTGGCGTTCTCTACCGGCTTCTAGACAGCAGATCCTAGCTAATCCGTCTCAAAGTGTCCCTCTGGATATTACTGCAAATATGTGACCGACTGTAAGCTCGGGGGATATCCACACTACCTAGAAAAGTTTACTCACAAGCTGGTGCAGATTATTGGCAATGCGTTCAAGGCACCAGTCCCACGGCATCATCTTCATTATCAAGTCCAGGAGCATTTTCCACAACAAGCACGAGCACCAGCTTGCGATTATCGACGACGTCGGTTTCTCGACCAACCACGACAACCATCTCCACATTCTCAACCTCGGTTGCATCAACAACTCCCATCCCAGCGGGAGGAACGGTGCCTGTTTGGGCTCAGTGTAACGCCAACTCCTGGCCCACGGCTTCAGCATGCGCCGCTGGTGCTGCCTGCATCTCTTTGAACCCATTCTACTGGCAGTGCCAGCCCTCGGGAACATGACTTGAACATTTACAATCACTTCCATCGCTCGCATAATCAGGGGCACATCCCGGAGGACGTGAGACACGAGCAAGATTTCATCTTGGGTCTTTCGGAATTTCCGTAGAGAAGAACACATAATTTTCCAATATCAAGCGAGTGGCATTGTCTAATGTAAATGAAGGTCCTACAGAGACACCAAAACACACCCAGCTCTAGTGCATGTTGAGTTTCACGCCAACATGCCGCCCTGCGGCCAACCCAACATTCCCGGCATTGCATTAATAATGACATATGCCGCCAACATCATCATCAATAGTCCAAGTACCAGCTAGGCCGCTGACCTCAACTTCAACGTTGTGACCGAGCTGGTTGGGCTTGCCCAGGAAGAAGTCACCCTTGCCCTCGGATTTGACGGTCCTACTCATGAAGCGGCGGGTCCACTCCTCGATAGCAGGCTCGCCAGTCTCATCTCGCGCCTGTTTCAAGAACGGAATGAGGGCAGTCCCGCCGGTGCCTTTCAGATTCTTATTGCCCCTAGCAGTGTTCATATTGTCACCCTGAGCGGATTGACGCTGTCGCGAGGCCGTAGCCAGGTTGAGACGCTGCCGTGCCGCCTCAGGGCTTCTCGACCTGCTGCGTGCACGCACCTCGCGCGAGGGCAATATGATGTAGCGAGTGACAATGGCAATGTGCTTATCGCGAAATGCACTGAGCATTGCGAGACAAGCATCATAAGCCAGGCACAGGTTGCGGTCGTCCTTGCGAGACTCGACAAACTCGCGAATGTTGGCGATGCTGGAAACATCCTTGAGAAACCGGGCATGGGGGCCGGGCATATACCGGCGCATCTCCATGATGAAGTTGTGACGCGGCACTGGGGCCCGAGATTCACGTTCCGACTCAGTGGAAGGATTCCGCTTCTCTCCGGTTGGCCGATGGTCGATGCCAAGAATGACGTCGAAGAACTGAATCAGACTGCTTTGGGCGTTGCTGCCGCCGCTATACTGACGATAGTCCTCTTTTCCAGACCCATCGTCGTAGTTGACGCCATCCGGCAGACCGGCTTCGGCCATGTTCTTACTCCCGGCGAGAAAGGTGCGAATGCGGTTGTAGAAGATGTTGGGATCGCAACTCTCGTGCATGCGCTGTAAAATGTTGGTCAGGTCGGTGAGGCGCTCGGCAAAGGTGCGTAAACAACGAGTAACCGTCGCGGCATCTCCTTGGCGGGCGGCGGCCACAGCCGTCAGCATCATAGGGATGATGGGACCGCCGCGGGCCTCGATAGCCACAGAGACAAGATAGAACCATGACTCGTCAAGAGAACCAGTGAAGGTGTTGAGAGTGGCGAGGTTTTCAAGGTTGTCAATGTCCTCATCAACAAACAGAGGCTTGAAATTCCAGAGGCACAAAGCGGCGTAGGTAGCAACCGGAGGCAGCTCAAGGTGGTTGGAAATCTTCAGGAGGGGAATGGTGATGGGAGGCGGCAACTGTTCACATGGCTCATCGCCGCCCCAGATGTAGGCATGCGCCATGAAGCACAACAGGGAGTACGCTCTCCGCCATTCTGCGTCATGTTCCAGACCGATGGTGGAGAGGACAGGCAACCTGTCGACAACTGGGCGAAGCCGACGGCTGAGGACGAGTGCCTGGAGGTTGGCAACGACGGCCTCCCACTTGTTATAGTAGGGATCTGGCAGTCGGGTCAACGGGAGAACGTCCGGCAGGAATCCATGGGTCGGCGAGATTCCATAGTCGGACAGAACGGGGATAGGAGGGAGCATAATGGGAATGCTGCTGCCTATGTACGTGGATTTTCTTTGAATTGAGGCCGAGGTTGAATTGGTCGGCAGTGAGTGTCCTTTTGGAAGGCACTTGGTCGCAGATAGTAAATATTGCTGTGTGAAGAGTTGTGAAGACAGTATTCAATAAGGTCCTGACGCAAGGAGTATCCAGATATAGCTGGAATACTCCTCAGCCGTGCGTGATATCCTTGAAACTGCGAGCATTCAACAGGGAAGATGCGAGGCGAGTTGCAAAAGCTCTGTTGCTTTGTATTCTCAGAAACGATGTTGCTGTAACAAGAGAATGAGAGCGACAGCGGAGGCGGCGGCGACGGCAGTGAGAAAGAGAGAGTGGTGTGTGGTTTATTAATGCGCGCAACAGTCCCCGTTCCGCTAAGTGGGATTGGACAGAAAAAAGTTTCCAGGGTCTTCCCTCGAGCGAAATTTCGCACTTGAAGAGGGCATGTACACAAGGGATGACTTTGACACGGGAGAAACTGGGTCGTGCCAGGCTAGCAGAGCTGGGTGGTCACGCCGGGTGCTACGAGGGGTTGGACCGCGCAATTCGAAACATACATTGAGGCGCCTCCAGTCGGCGGGTACACGGTCTGGATTAGCGGGGTACGCGTCTTAAACAAAAGATACCTTGGGTTGCTGGATATTTCGCATGACCTTTGCAACCAGATTGCCGAGTGCCACAGCCCATCTGGGCATAACTTGGTTATAGACTGAGCGCCAAAGTTGAGTTAGACACAAGTGGCCAGCCACATGCATAGACGGTGAGGCAGACAAAATGAGAGGATGAAGTCGGGATGAGTCGTAACGAGAAACCTGCAGTTTGTAACCAAGGCAGACCTGTCAAGTATATTTAGAGCAAAGGTACTTTTGCTGGCAGTTGCTGGCAAAGCAGCGCGGGACCAATGAGTGGGAGAAGTGCGACAAGGGCCGAAGTAGTTGTCGATTTCTCAGCCGCTTCTTGCATGACTTGCTCTCCTTGTTGGCCCGATCAGCTCGATTCAAGTCTTCAGCCTCCTTTCCGCTACTCTGCCAACTTCTATGCTGGTAGGTACTTGGACAGGAGATGCCAGAGGAACGACCGTCAGTCAGCAAGAGTTCAAAGAGCCAGTTTAAGTCCCATCTTCTCACCACATCATCTCAACCTTGGTCATCAAAAATGGGTCACAACTCTGACGCCGGCCGGACCAGCGATTATGCAGCAGACAAATGAACGGCCTCGGTTGGTCTGGCGGAAAGCCGGCCAAAAAGTGACACTACAACGGGCAAATCGCCCCACGCAAGGTACGGACGATCTGCCTCTCGGTGTTTCCTTCACAACCACGGGATCCCCGTCTCATCGCGGCGTCATTCGACCATTTTCTAGGTTTCCTTGACGTCTATCGCCGTCATCACTCACACAATATCGTACATAGTGCTCTCCTTCTGTGGTTCGGTTCTTAACTCACGAGGCAAAGCGATCATGTTGTATCGGCCTCCATTCGCATCTGCCCAGTGCCACTCGCGCAGCAGCCAGTCAATCTGGCCGCAGGTCCTAGAGGTTACCTACCTGCCTGCCTACGGCTTCAGGACACGCGTGCATCGGTTTGTTGGCCAGTATTTCAGTGGATGGTCATGACTCCAAGTACAATCTGCGAGGTTTTGGATTTGGCAACATTCTGAACCCTGCTCCCACTGCCTGATTATACAAGACGAATGGCTGCTCGTTTGAACGGTATTCAGAAGGGTTGCAGGTGGGTGACTACCCACGCAAGGTGAAGATTCGAGATTGAAGTTTGAAACTCGTTATGAGTGAGTGAAGTGTGAAGAGTGTGAAGGCAGGAGGGACGATACGTACGTACCTAACCGAATTCAAAGGACTGACTCCCTGTGGGTTTTGCGACCCATGTCCCACTTTTGGCCAGAGCTACCTACCCACCTATGCGTCATCTGTTGAAGGAATTGGATGCGCCGGTGCCCAACCACCGATCCCCGAGCTCCAACATCCACCTCCCGCTCGTGCTTCAGCAACACAATTCGACGGAAGGTGATTGACGCCGTACCCTCCCCGCTGTCCGATCTCTCCTGTTGCCGTCTTCCGACCGACTCGATCGGCCGTTCGTTAACGTCGTGCTCGCCGCTGAACCACACCACACCGGGCCTCGGACCTCAGCGACATGCATTCTTAACTTGAGCTTCGCCTGTTACATCCCCGCATCCGCGTAGCCCTCGGTGGTGCCGCTCCCACCTCCACCTCCATCGCTCCGGCCTGAGTTCTCTGCCTCAGCTCTTGCCTCATCACCACAATGCCCGTTCCTCAGCACGTCTTGAATTGGCTCTACAGCGTTCTTACTAGCGTAACTATTCCTGTTTCTGCTCGTGGCGTCCTTCGTTCCCCAACTGATGCGTTGCCTTTCCCAGGAATACCACGATGTGAATCGCACCTACAACGATGTCGCACAGGCTCTCTCCCATTACCCCTCTCTATCGCCGCGTACCGATGTCCACAGTATGCGCTCTGGAATTCGGGTCATGATCTCGTCTAGAACCACTGCTGATACTGTACTTAGCCTTCGATAATGGCGCCTCTGCTCTCCTCGTCCACCTCTCCGGCACTATACCCGTCATCTTCAGAGGCACAACCTACCGCTTCCCCATCTCAATATGGGTTCCCCATGCCTACCCTCGAGATGCTCCGCTAGTCTACGTGACCCCCACCGAGACCATGATGGTGCGACCCGGTCAGCATGTAGATCCCCAAGGGCAGGTCTACCATCCATATCTTGTAGGCTGGGCCGCCTTCTGGGATGTACGTCCTCCCTGCCACCATATCTCCCGTCGCAGCTCATGTCTGACTGTTCACAATCTAGAAATCCACTATCTTGGACTTCCTCGCCATATTGAGGGACATTTTCGCCAAGGAGCCACCCGTCATCGCCCGACAGCCAGGTCAACAGCAGCCTCCCCCCCCTACTCCTCCTCCAGGATTACAACCACACGGCCAAATGCCTCCCCCTGTCCCGCCTCTGCCCCCGATCTGGCCCCTCGTCCAGCCAGCCATCCGCCGACCCAAACGGGTTCTCCACGGCCTCCGCCTCCGCCGCCAAAAGAATATGGCGCTGAGCCTCCATACCGAAGCCCACCACCCCCGATCGATGCGAGACATGGCCCCCCTCTACCACCTTTACCCCCAGGTGCCGAACGTGCAAGTATTCACGGAAGTTACAACGCCCATCATCCACCTCGGCCTCAGAGCCAGAGCTACTCCCGATATGACTCGGCACCACCTCTACCTCCAACCCCTGCCTCGCATCCTCCACCGCCACCATCGGCCTTGTCTCCGCGCTCTATGGGGGATCTTCAGCAGCAACAGCAGCAACTTCGCCATGACGCTGCTTCTCAGCCACCGATCCCTTCGACAGATCCTCGCCGCTCTGTCGCTTTCCCACCTCATCAGCAAAGCGCTTCTCAGCATGGTGGCCCCCTCCCGGGTGGCAACCGACTGGGCAATATCAAGCACAGCTACAGCAACGAGAACAGCAACTGCAGCACCAGCAGCCACCGCAACCACAATTGGCAAAGCCAGCACCACCTCCAGATTTACTCGACGAGCCGCTCACCTTGAGCATCCCTTCACCATCCTCCATCCCCGCCCCGCCAATACCTCCGAACCCCGAGAAAGATGCCCTGCTGCACCAAGTTGCGCAAATGCTCCACTCCCTGCGTCAACGTAGCCGACAGCAGAATGAATCCAGCATGGCAGGCTTACAGGCGCAGCGTACGGCAATGATATCCGCCTTCTCCACATTGCAGTCTGAGATGGGTACCCTTGGTCAAACGTCGGCCTTGCTTCAGTCCAACGCCAATATCCTTGTGGAAGCGCTGCGAAAGGCCGATTCTGTCATCGAGGGGTCGTCACGTCAGACTGCCCCTGATATCGATGAGCTACTAGTGGCGCCTACGGTTGTCGCTAACCAGCTCTACGTGCTGGTAGCCGAGGAAAAGGCAATGGGTGACACGATTTTCGTGCTGGGTCGAGCTGTGGAACGAGGCAGAATCTCACCTGCCGTCTTTGCCAAGACGACACGTTCCCTTGCTCGTGAATGGTACTTGAAGAAGGCATTGGTTCGCAAAATTGGGAAAGGGATGGGACTGACAGCATAGCGGTACAAGCCTTGTTCTTCGATTTACACATAGAGTTCCGTATCTTGTACACTCGGGCACAAATGGTATCTTATTTAATTCCCAACTTCAGGCCTGCGTGATAAATATCTCTCAGGTGGATGCGCTCAGTGTGTATCATCAAAAGATGCGCATAGGGTTTTTTGGGCTCCAAACTTCCTTGCCCGAATAGACTACATGTACCAATCTTTTTGAGCTGATACATCAAACCCCGAATTCTTAATTGTAGGCACGGCCGATTTTCTTCGCAGCATTTTACCAGCGTCCATTGTCTCTCCCATAACCTGGTTGATCACTCTCTGCATCTCTCACAACTGCGATTGGGCCAATGGTTGGGATGATGAGTTCTGCATTCAGCTCTGGCAAACAAGAAACCTCGAGACGCTCGCCATCCCTCCAGTTGGATCTCCGAGCCTCTTCTGGTGAGGAATTACACTTGTATTTGCGGGCTGTACCAGATAATGCGATCTCAGCTTACCTCCAACCGGATAGACCTCTTGACAGGTTGTGATGGCGCTGTGGGCTGTCGTCCGCCAAGTGCTGGTCATTTTTTTCCGGGTAGCCCTCCTGGAAAGCAAGTCGGACAACGGACGCTTAGATTCACTGCTTGAGAAGCGCTAACTATTGGTTCACTCGGATGAGCCGTTTCTGAGTACCTTTGTCGTCTTTGCGCTACAGCTCAGCATCGATTGAACCAACAGGGTCGACCTGATCGCGGGAATGCAACCGAGAAGATTCGATGAGCGAAGCGATGACGCATTGGGCGCTTCGGTAGACGTGTTCGTTCAGCCCGCCGCCCAAAACTTCCTTTATAGGCGTGCTAGGATGGGATGTGCAGCAACTTTGCTGCAGCTCCGCTTGCGATGTGTTGGGCGAGACATGAGGGGTGATCAAGGTTCCCAACGGCAAGATAATGAATGAAGTGTAACTTAAGGAGCCTGGCTTGAAGTTGGTCCTGTCGCCCCATTGCAGGGCAGCGAACATGACTGGCCGGTTCCAATTAGCCCTGCCGAACAGGAGAGTCGAAGAACGCATGGTAGCATAATCCAGGTACAATCACCAATAGCCCATTTTTGATGATCAGTATTTCTATGGCACTCAGCCCCTGCCTCGAAGGAAGAATGCCACGATGTTTGATAATATCCATTAGGAGCTTAATTTTGAATACGGCGCAGTAGTAGATGATGGAAATCGCACCGGCAATGCCGCCGCCCCAAGATGACCAAAGCGAACCGGCGAGTGACATCGACATGATAGCATGGTGTTTATAACGCTAAAATACGTGCGCAGGCATATGGCGGGTGCCGAAATAAAGCAAGAAAGCCCAGTAAAGGACCGCTTCCAAACCCCCGGCAGAAGGTCGACCAGAGCCCATGCCTGTATGCCAAGCGACATCTAGACCAGGATATTTGACTAACAGAGATAGCTTCCGTTACGATACTGCGGTAGTAATCTTCCGGCGTGATACGGGAGTAGCCTGCCGCCTAGAGACTGTACATGTTGGCCCAGTTGGAAGTGAAGTGAACCGCCAGCAGCGTCATGCGGGTGATGTTGAGTATGAGACCGATAATATGGACCCACAAGGAAGCGCTTGATGAGCTTGACGGGGGGCGCTATAACGACAGTGGCCAGCAGCAGCATGGAGCTCGCATCGATCTTAGAGCCGTGGTTGGTACCTGTGCTGATGATGTCTTGGTACAGCGCGTCGACTTGCGAGAGATCCAGGACCGAATTTCCGTTGTTGGCAGTTTTGATAGAGAGGGATTGTTAGAAAGGTCAAAGGAGGCCATGTTTTCGGCGGTGTCGAAGAGAGGTAAGAAAAAGCGCCGGTCTGCCAGTAATCTAATCGTTGGGTGAGTGACAGATTTCTCACTTGTATAAGATGTGAGTGAGGCCAACTGAATACCCTTTCTCCGAGAAAGGTGGCGAGAGGTATACATACTTTGGTAGTAATCAATGAATCTTGTATATCATACAGAGGAGACATCATTACAGTGCCGTATGGGCATGTTAGGAACCAGTTAGGCCGTATCTCAGAAAGGGATCCGTCTAGAACGTGTGAATTCGGCTGGTGTTGCTCAATTTGGCATTTTCACGAGACATGATGCGAGGGGATTGACAACCCGTTCCCGATATCATAAATAATGCATTCAACCGCTCAATTGTCGCACCGCATGCTTTATTTGATCAAGGCGGAATCGGGATATTCGATAAGCTCTAGTCGGAGGCAGAACAGGAAGGCAGGCCAGGCATTAATTCACACATGCAGGTAAAGGATCGAGCTGCGAGCTTCTTTCGCGTTACTATACCGGCGTTTGAGCCTGGTGCCGTGTTGTCCCTGTTTGGACCGGAAACAGGGACGAACGCTTGATCCTAAACCATTCAGTGACCAATTTGCGGGTAACCGTGGCAACTCTCATAGCGGCATGCGACTAGGTTCGTTCCTACAAATACAATCTTCCCGAACCCGAGGAGCCGAGACCAGGACGATCACAGGCTTTCCATGCTTCACTGGCACAGTGGGTCACCGGTCGCGCCCCTCTGATGCCAGTTCTGTAGTTTCGTGGATATTGGGCGAGGACCTGTGGCTGAACGAGATCTATCTCGGCACCTACCAGAAATTGTGTCGTAATGGCGAGGAGTGAATACAGTGCGACTAGTTTCACGAAGACCGGCCCGAGGATGATTATGAGACTCATGCCGTCAGATTAAGCGTTGGCCGTTCCCAAAAGCCTGTAGCTGGACTAGCTCAGGAGATAGGTCGTAGGATGTGGGACATTGACGGACGAGGCGCACGGGAGGAGTAGGGAAGACAAGCCGCCGCCTCGCCGTCAGGTCCAAAAGTCAATAAGGAAGGATGGCGACGACAAGACAGTCATGGAGGGTTGGCAAACGCCCCGTGTACCCAGCTCCGGTTCCGTTTTGACCCACTTATACTGCCGATCATGTCGGCCTATAATCCCGTAACTCCGCTTCTGACCCGGAGGTATAAACTAAGGTGCTCCGGCGCAACGGGTCTCTACCCATTTGTCGGGAAACAGGTCATTTTTTTAGAACTACGGTACGTGCTTCAGTTTAGGGGAGTGCGGAGACGGGGCCATATCTTCTTGTCTTACAAAAACTCCAAGCTGAGAAGCCTCTTTTTTGCGCTTCTGGGCTAGTAGATGAGAAACGATAGGTACGAAAACGTTCACCTTTTTTTTTTTCCGGGAACAGATGACAGGTCCAGGTGAATAAAGTCCATGTGAGACAAGGAGACAACTTACCGAGACCGCAGCAGTTAATCTCTCGGAGCAAGAGTTGTGAGAGGTCTAGCCCTCAGCATGTCTCGCATTGACGCTTGAGCTGACAGCCCACTGGCCACATGCCCGCCCGACATCCCTTGCTTCTTAGTCTCCCTTTATGGCTAGACTGAGTCCACTCTCTCACGAGGCACACGTCGACTACACTTCGTTTGACATGGACTGAAACCCTAATGCCAATTCCGGTGGCCATGGCACGATGGCTTACAAACGCGACGCGGCCCCCATCCAGAGGCCAGCGAGGCGACGGATGCTTGCATGGCGAGAAGTGGTGAGTCTAAAAGAGACCCTCTGCATGTCTCGAAATCTCCGTCATGTCTAGGATATCCATCGAAGCTTCAGGCTCTATGGGCGCTGGTCTCGCCTCGCAAGACCCTTTCATTCACCATGACCGGAACAGACCTCGCCCATGCTGGATCTTGGCATGCGTCAGATCTTTTCCTGTGACACCTATCTTCCAAGTGCTCTCTTTGCGTTACCAGCTTCGTGGAAAAGAGTAGAGACACTGCTGTCATGTCTGACCTGGAGACTGGGACGGAACGGAACACACTTCTCTTTTTGGTACCAAGCTCTACCCTGGTGCTTCATTTGCGACCGCCCTGTATTTGTGTCACCGTTCGGAGCCGCCTCCGAGAAACGCCTCCGAGAAACGCCGCCGTCCAGCTGAGCTTCCGAATTGTCGACACCATCCTGGCCTTGGATGGCCGAGTCGGGAACGCTTTCAGTCTAGCCTCAGCCAACTCGTCATGTTTCTCCGCTCGCCAGTCCCCTTGTTCCCCGCAATAGCCCAAGTTCGCAATAATGGCTTGTCTGGGGGCCATTGTCACGGCCGCAGTGGTGGAGAGCCTTGCTCACCTTCGGTCTGGATCGTGGTCGATGGTGGATGATGCAGGATTTGGTGACGAGGAAGATGCCGGAAAGTAAAGAATAAAAAACCTCATCGCATCCCGCTTCACCTTTGCTACCCCTGTCGTGGTCGCCATTGCTTCTCCTGTATTACACCCACATTTCTTACTGTTCAGCTCATCCCTTGAAGCCTTCAGCTCCTGGCTCTATTCGAGCACCCCGCTTTGCCGGTTGACCTTCAATACTTCTGGCCAGGTTCCCGCGACGTCGCGGGCTGATTGCCACCTTCTCTCAAGTTGCCTGGGCTGCTCATTTTACCTCCCCTGATCCTTCCTGCACCTCAATTCTATCGTTGCCACCCGTCACACCATCCGGATCTGCCCAGAATGAAAGCAACGGGAAGGCTCTTTGTGGGGCTGTGGGCAGTCAACTATGCCGCTGGCTTCTTTATTATGCCTTGTTCTAAGCCAGTGGTCGTTGAACGCGCCGACCCCATCGTCAACCCAGGAGCTCTTTCTGGCCATGTCCACACCATCATGGGCGGCAATGGCTTCGACTTCAGCATGACCTATGAGCAGGCCCGCGCCGCAAGTTGTTCGACTTGTAAGGTTACTGCCGACCTAAGCAACTACTGGATTCCGTCTCTTTATTACCAAGGGCAAGATGGTAAATTTACTAGCGTTTCTCAGTCCGGAGGCATGCTGGCCTACTACCTGTAAGTAATTGTCTGTTAAAGAAGATGGTGGAGTGGCAGTAACTGACTAGAAGTTTCTAGGTTTCGACAAGACGCCAAAGACCCTGAGTACAGTAACGGGCTCATAGCATTTCCCAAAGGCTTTCGCATGCTGGCTGGCAATCCTAAGCTCCGAAGCTTCAACAATACCCTTGAGCAGCGAGCGATTTCATACGTGTGCCTGGGAAACGGTGGTCCTCAGACTAACGGATTCCCCACCCGCAACTGCCCCAATGGACTGCGCCTGCAAGTCTTGTTTCCTTCGTGTTGGGACGGTGTTAACCTGGACTCGCCTGATCACAAAAGTCATATGGCTTACCCAGATCGTTTGGATAACGGCAAATGCCCAACAACTCATCCCAAAAGATTCGCGACGTAAGGGACATCCTGGAGGCCAATACTCAAACAATGCTAACGCTCCAACCAGTCTGTTCTACGAGGTCATCTTCAACGTCAACGATTTCAAGGATATGTGGTATGGCGAGAATGACAGCCAACCGTTCGTCTTGTCTAATGGGTAAGTCTTTTTCAAGTTTGGCAAGAAGCACTATCACTGACGCTGCGCAGCGACCCTACTGGATACGGCCTGCACGGTGATTTCGTCAATGGATGGGATGTCAATGTGCTCCAGGCCGCTCTCACACAATGCAAGGATGGCGGCGGCAGCATCGAGAAATGCCCTGTGTTCCAGTTCTTTGACGACGAGACAAGAAGGGGCTGTCAAGTTCCAGTCAAGGTTAACGAGCAAGTCCAGGGCCAGCTCGACAAGTTGCCTGGTTGTAACAGCGTCCAGCGCGGCCCTGGCAATGCTCAGTCGGAATCAGGGTGTGGCGCAACAACACAGATTTCGCAGCCTCAATGGGGATACAAGGACGTAACGAGCACACTCAATTACAAGTATCTCGGCTGTGCCCGCGATCCATCGGGTCAAGCCCGAACTCTCCCGAGCGCGAAAACGTCTACCGACAGCATGACGGTTGATACCTGCATCAAGCACTGCGACGGAAAGGGCTTCGCATATGCGGGTCTGGAGTATGCCAAAGAATGCTGGTGCGGTAACTCAGTGGCTGACGATCGCAAGCCCAAGAAGGGATTGTGGGGTGGCTGCAACATGCCTTGTTCAGGTAGCCAGAGCGATATGTGTGGTGGATGGGCCGCCCTCTCACTCTACCAGAAGTGCAATGGAACTTGCCAAAACGCGGACTTGATGTGAGGTTGATATCCAGTGGAGTTACTGGCGCGAGGGACTTCTGTTTAATTAGTTCATAGTGCCATTTGCACTTCCCCGATCAAGTGCCACAGAGCATTTCATTTACATCTTGTGGCAGTCGATCTGAACACTGGGTTTAACCACCATCGTCGCATCTCAACTCAAACCGACTGTCGTCAGCGTCGTGCATGAGCAGCCTGCAATATTCTCCACCACAAGATCGGCTCCGCATCACCCTTTGGGCCGGGTACTTGTTTTAAAGCAACAAGGTGTTGTTATCGACTGCCCCCTTGAACTTCCGCGAAAGCAGCATCCGATATGGTCAAGGTGTAGTGCATGAGAGTGAAATTCATTAACCTAAAAGGCGTAGGCCGATATTCGAGCCAACGTCAGGCCTAGGATGCATTCCCCGTAGCCTCGAGGCTACTAGTCTTTGAACTATTGTACAGCCAGCTTTTTGCGGCAACAAGGACGTGATTATACATGGACCGTCATTCGGTAATAGAAAAATCGTTTATTGACTGCGATAAGAACATTAGCAAAAGATGCAGGCAATGGGGGTTGTGAGGGAATACTGACGGAGGAAGAAGGAATTCGCCCCAGGAGCTCGAGAGGAAGGTGACAGCAGCCTGGAACTGATGTTAGCAAGCTTCATCTGAAGAGAGCGCGAATATAGCAGGAAGACTCACGCCGAAGATGGCGATGCTGCGGACGATAGGCGCATTCTCAGAGGAGGTTAGAGCATCGTAGGTCGATCTGAAGTAGCCCTTGGGCTGGCGGGAGCGCGGGCTGGCTCTCTCGACAACGATTCTTTTAGGAGGCATGTTGACTATTCGATGTGAGGCGTAGAAGGGCAAAGATCGTGGGTCGAGCTTCGGATGGTGGAGGGCGTTGATGCTGTGGAGGAGAATTAACGGATCTTCAGTTGGTCGCGATGTGAGGTTGAAGTCGAGCCAGCCAGGAAGCTCAGATCGTAGGGAGCCGAAATTTTTGACTGGGCCGGACGTCACGTACGCAAGCCACAGTTTTATCGAGGATATGGGGCCGCAGGATGTGGCTAAGCGCTGCTTATGTAACGGGTGTATGACCTCAAGTGAGCCAAGCCAGCGTCCCTCGGTGGTGCTCAGTAAGGTGCTTGCAGGAAGTACCGCTCCCAACCACACCTACCGACCACTGGCAAGCTGCAAGGTGGAGCAAGGTACCTAAGGTAGGAAGCTTGGAGGGGTAGTGCTAGACATTCCTCTTCCCCTCGACACCTCGCACGCCAAAGGGCGAAAGGCCTAGAAAGTTGATCACGTTGACGATGCGAAGGGCATCTTCACCACTGCATCAACCAGCAGATACACGTCAAGACAATGGCTAACCCCCCACAACCGTCAGAACCAGGCGGCTTCTTCACATCTCAAACTCTCCCATCGCCCGCGCCCAGCAGCGCCTCAGCCCGCTCCAGCGCAGCTCTTCCACATCCTCGCGCCAGATCGCTCCGACCTGGATCGAACAAAGAAGAAACGGTGCGTAGATATGTCGAGGAACGCCTGGCCATAGTCAACCGTCGCTATGTTAAGAAGCATGGGAACCCGGAGCCCGGTGATCAGGTCATCGGCTACAAGACCTTTGCTGAGCTCTGCAAAGACCTTCACGGCGTCATTGACGTTCTGTGGCTATCTGGAACTCGTGAGGAACCCACGCCCCCAGGCTCAAGGACAAAAGGGTCTTGCATATGTCTTCGAACACCCAATCTGACTTGGTTCTGCAGCGAGCATACAGATTCCCTTCCTCCTAAACATAGCCAGTGATTTTACGCAATGGATTGACGCATTTCCACCTTCCCCCAAAGCTACATTTTCAGTCTTGAAGAAGCTGGATCACTGTTTTGCAAGTCTCCTTACCGGCCACGATATAGAGACAAAGGACACGCTACCCGGCTTCGAGAACGGCATGCGCGCAGGCATGTCCACAACGGATATGGTCCGCTGCCGGAGTTCCGTGGAACAGACCAGGCTGGTCATTGTCGAGGTCCTTAGCAAGGAGCCAGACGAGGACGAAGAAATGGAAGGGGACGAGAGTGAGACGGACGCGACGATGGGCAACGACACCGAAAATGAAGGTGCAACCGGCTCGGCATGGGCTGGAGACGACGACGGATTTTATATGGATGCAGCACGAGTCTACGAGCATACCATTGTCCAGCTGGGCGAGAAGTTGGGCGATGTTTTTGGGCCCGCGGTCCCGGGCGCGAGCGATAACACTTTATGTTCTGCGGGCTCGTGATAGCTCACAATAGACCAGAGGATCTCGGACTACTGTGGATCAATAGGCAACGAAATTCCGTCCGGCTCCCAAGAAGCCAAGCCGCAGCATGGCTCGACCTCTCCCAGACTCAAGGCTGACTTACACCCCGTCGTCAAGAGGAATGTCAACGAACGGTGCGTTATTTCGGCGTAATGCTTGCCAGTCCTGTCATAAAGCAAAGTCCACTGTCTTCTCTCACAAAAATAAAGGTGGGAATAGTGCCATGGTTTTGGCCCAAGCACGAAACTACACGGGTTGAGCGGCGAGCAGAGGTGTGCGGCGGACCTGTATACGGTCCATTTCGCAGCCACAGCGTTCACATCATTATCGGAGGCCCAGGTATTGGCCGCCTCACCGTCACATGCTTTGGTGTGGCGGGGCAGAGGTTGGGAATATGTCACGGTAGCATAGCGGCTCACTTTTGTGTTCACTTCGCGACCAAACGGCCGCGCCACGCGGCAGCCGGGTGGGTATAGGGCATGTAGGTACAAGACGATCAGCAGGGTAATAGTTGCAAATCGACGCGGCGCGGCCGGTCTTTTCAACAACACTAAAGGTACCGTAATGATTGACTGTTCATCCGAGAATGACAGAGCAGCTCGTTCCCGTTAGTGGGCGCTCTGGTTTCAGGGACCGGGGGGGGGGGGGGGGGGCATGTCTCACTGGTGGAAGTGGGAAACGATTCCTGGCACCAGCGAACAAGTCGAGATGAGATGGATGAGGTGAGGACCGGCGCAAGCTCGTTGGAGGCATTCGCTCGCCTCGAGTACTGTTAAGCCGTACAGTTTCCAGGGCCCGAATCTTTTAAACTCGAGGCCTCCCCCCGCAGTACCTGGATTCAATCGAGAAAAATAAAATTCTACACGGACACAGACATATGGGCCTTCCAAGCGAACCGTCAATGGCGAAGGCGGACCAACCTGCAACTGGCACTCCCATGATCCCTGAAGCGGCGCAGGACACGTTCGTGGGTTTGGGCCGAGCGGACCCTGTCAGAACCCTGTCATCTGGTGTCTCAGAACATGTAATGCCGGTCCAACATCAAAGCCATGCGCTTCTGCGCGAACTTTTTTTATTTTATGTTTTTCAGGGGCATTTGGCGATCCCATCTTGGCAAGAAATCAAAGTCCTGGTCTCATGGCGTGCAATTGCACTGTACGAAAACCCCACGCTCACGGGCGTCAAACAAGTCCAAAGCTTCCTCACCTACTGTGTTTCGTCAGGTAACCGAAATCGTCATGGCCAACCTCGACTCACTACCGACACGGAAGACATTTCTTCGTGTCTTTGTCCTCGTATATCTGAAGCCTAGTGGTCTCCCATTTCTCTTTCGAGAGGCTGCTTGATGGGTCATCCCTTTTTCACATCTCACAAAATCCCTAGTTGATTCTTGATCTCCCTGATCAGATACCTCGAACCCACCTCCCTTTCAGATTTTTCCTTCCGGTACCTTTCCAACTGAACAGTCGAGAACCAACCGTGAGCTGCTGGTGGAGATAGTACCCCTGAATGAACATTATGCGCTTGACGCTCTGCAGATAAACTGCCAATGGCAGCTGCTGGCCAATGCAGCATCGGGAGTCGATCCTTGGCCCGTATGCGCCGCCGCATTCGGGTCCCGTCCCATCTAGTAATCCACGCACTCCAGCCCCTATCATCCCGTCTTTTCTCGTAGGCTCCCCTCCCCTATGTCCCATGTCGATATCATGCACCCATGGACTTAACCTCGCACCTGAGCCTCGCCTGTTCCTGTTGCACCCGTCTTTTCAATACTATGTATACAAGATAACCTTCCCTGTCAACATCTCGGCTTGCCTTTGACCTTTGCCAACCCCTATCTCTGGCGGCGACTGTGGCCATCTCCAATGCAGATCAGGACTCCCTAGCATCCCCCGTCAGCCACCTTCGGCCATGGACCCCCCCCATCGCCACCGTTCCGACCTCAACCCACGGGCGGGTTGTCCCTGTGTATTACCCACCACCGATGACAACGCACCTGCGCCCCTTCTCAGTCATTCTTGAGTCTCCGCCTCTATGTAACCGGCCTGAGTTAACACAAGTAGACTGTGCCAAGTTGCCAGGCAGCCCATCGTCATCGCCCTCGTAGAGTATTACCCCCAGCTTCTGGGCGTTTCATCCTTTACTCTCCACATCAATCTCTCCCCTCCGCCTTACCGTTCTTGGATTCGAGCATGGTGGCTATGGCTATGCCGTGAGCCTTTCCTTGCCCATGGCCGTCCGTCCTCGTCAGACATCCCTTGATGCCCTGTCTTCTTGTGGTGGACAGGGATGTTGTACCCATACGGCCTGGTCCAGGCCGTCCCCATCCAACCCGGTTCCTATCTATATTATAGTATATATGTTCAGCCCAACCTCGCGACCCATCGGTCAGAATGTGCTTTCGCCGCCTCTTTCGTTCTCTACCACACTTACGTTCATTCATTAGGCCAAGTGCCGTTTCATTCCTTTCTTGGTGATTTCAGTCAATCTAGATATCATCGTCCATTCTTTTTCCACATTTGAACACTCGCAAGTAGCCAATCCTCACTATCCAGTATAGACGAGACTTATACGAGCATTATTCATCATCTATTCTTTCACTACAGTAGTGGTCCAAAGACAACTTCACACAAAATGTTTTCCACAACGGCTAGCCTTCTTCTGGCTCTCTTGCCTGCTGCAATGGCCCTCGTGCCTCCCGCGGCAGACGGCATGAACATCATCTGGTCAGAAACATTTCAAGGAAACGCCGGCTCACCGCCTCGAAGCGACACCTGGGACGTGGCCTTGGCCATCGACACGAACAACGATGTCCAGATTTACACCGCATCATCATGGAACCTCCAGATATCCGGCGGCGAGACTATCCAGCTCATCCCTCGCAAGTCAGCAAGCGGCGTCTGGACATCTGCGCGCATCGAAACCAAGGCAGCATGGACCCCTCAGCCGGGAGGAAGAATGAGGGTCCAGTCCATGTTCAGGATGGGCGACAACGCAAACAAGCAGGGCATGTGGCCCGCGTTTTGGATGCTCGGTGATGCTGTCCGCCACGGAACCCAATGGCCTCTCTGCGGTGAGCTCGACATTTTCGAGCAGATTAACGGCCAGCTCTCCGCGACGGGCACTGTCCATTGCCAACAGGAGTCTGGCGGCATCTGCAACGAGCCCGCCGGTCGCGGCGTGGCCACTTCCATCCCCGACAACAGTTGGCACACTTGGGCTTTGGAATGGGACCGCACTTCGAACAACTGGGCCACAGAGACCATCACATGGATGCGCGACGGTGTCGTATTCAACCAGCTCAAGGGCAGCGATATTGGGGACGAGGGTATTTGGGCGACCCTCGCTCACAAGCCCTACTATGTGCTCATGAATGTGGCAGTTGGTAAGTTTTCTATCCTGTAGTGAGTCTTCCCTGGCCAGCTGCTAATCGAATACTAGGCGGTACATTGCCGGGTCCTCCTACCGATGCTACGCAAGATGGCTATGGTAGCATGATGGAGATTGGTTATCTTGCTGTCTACCAGTCCCCGTAATTGCCATCATCTTCATCCCACCGCGAGACCCAGCATTTCCGCCGCCAACCTGGAGCTCTCGCTGTGCTTGATACCGCAGCTGCAGCGCAGTGTCTTGGCACGAAAACCTCACCACCTCAGAAGCACACCAATATTCTCTCAGCATACCCCTCGTCCACAAATCGCGGGGCAAGGTTCCTTTGCCCCTCTTAGCATATACCCCTTTCAATAGCGATGTATAGCGGCTGCTTTTCACCTTTACATTCGAACCTTTACGTACACACGCGCGCGAGACGGCGCTTCTGGATAGAATAGGGGAAATTACGTATTCCCGCAAGTCAATGTTGAAAACAACACCTTATTATGTTCATTGTCTGATGTTTAGTATCGAGAGAGCAGAAATGATAGAAGACAGGTCGTGATTATAACCCGTGGCCCGTTCTAATGAGTTTCATTATCCTTCAAGTAACTGAGCATGGATGGCACTCCCTGCTCGAGCACAGTCATACATCGAAGATTTTGCGGTGTCGGCAGAATCTTCCAGTTGTCGATTATCGAATCAAGGACTAGGCTAGTATGCAGGAACCACAACCACAGATCGACCGCCAAAGATTTATCTCCCTCCGCCTTCAAACCGCCATCGAATAAAGCCACCGTAGTCCGGGGCGTAAAATACGCGAGGGTGGATCATTGAAGACAAGTTTGTTTTAACGTGAACCGCCTCCACAACCATCTGCAGTTCCGCCGCAGATATGGCGTCAGTCGATCCCCTAGGGTAGCAAGGGGCCCGCGTGGATCGGCTTCGTTGCAGACCGATCAAGACGTGCCTTCCTGTCGAACGCACCCGAGGCCAGGGCCGGGACCGGCGTGCCAGCACCATTCTGATGTCAGCCTGCCCCCCACGGCCGTGAGTTTGCCCGAAGTTAGATGCCCCGTTGCACTGGACTGGACGACTGCAGTCCCAGGACTAGGTCCCGGGCACACGACGCGGAAATCCCTTCGTCTGGGGGCGCTTCGGATATAGCACTTGATTATTTGTTCGCCAGCCGAACGCCAAGCGTCCGACGACTAGTGTGGTGGTGTATGGCCAGTTTTTACAAATAGCAGGCGTACCTCGGAACTTGAGCTTTGAGGTCTTGTTGGCAATGGGATATGAAAAAAAGCTGGATTGATTCTCGTAAGCCAATACCGTACCACGCCACAGTATAATCTGACAAGACCCAGGGTCAACGACGATGGCTGGATGACACGGGGGTAAAAAGTGTCCCTTGCCTTCTAGTAAATACAATGCTCCTCGCACATCCACCGCCGATACAGCTGCCCCTTTTTGGACTCTTCCTCACATCTCTTTTGCACAAGTCAACACTCATGGGTCGGCATGCCTCCCCATTTTCCAAAAAAAAAAAAAATTCCAGGCTCCGCAATCTCACATCGTATGCCGCATATAATCAATGATTCCGCCCACTTGTTCGATAGGAAGAGGGCACCCGACAGAAATTTGCGAAACCGACCCCTAGAACTCCAGAACCTATGATCCAAGGGCCCAGCGAGTGGCCCATCCACCGACGACCAACTCAAAGTAAGCCCCGTCAAGTTGTTATGCGTGTTACCCCAGGCAGATGCACGCGAAAGATTAGATCGCCGTCGACGACGAGGCTGTAGCGAACGATGACAAGACCCGCCAACTGTGCCGATAATCAGACAATAAAGAGCAATATTGCCACGAACGACACCATCGGCGGGCGACGGGTAAAAAGCGTAGGAAATAGGAAAGTAGCAGGCTCAGCAGCCGCGGGAACCGAACCTAGCGGACAACACAAAGCCTGTAGGTATCGGTCACAGGGTCCCGCGACAAGTAGTTGGCAACTGGAGCAGTCGATGGCAGAGCCAATTTCGATGTCAAGTAACCGAAGTTGGCCTTTTTTTTTCTTTTGATATTCTGTGCATATTCATAAAACAAGTGGAATTTGCCGTACTTCGCAAGTAGCCTGATGCACGGCTGCACCGGTGTGTAGACTCGGAGCGATCGAGTCAGGGGAATCGTAACAACGCCTTAACACATGACTGAAGCCTGACGGGAAACTGGAAGAACCGGACGCCTGCGCAAAGCCGGGTTCGGACAGCGTCTAGTCTGCGCCAATTTCGTTGCCGCCTTCCATGCCGAACGACCCAGTGTTGAAGTCAAAGGCCTGGTTGTCGCCGTCTTCATGCAGGAAGGAGTCGAAATCGAAGTCGTTGAGCACGTTGTCCGAGACCAAGGGGTCAGCAAAGGTCATGGCATTGAAGTCAACCATTCCGTTCGAGCTGTCCATGCCGAAGGATCCGTTTTGGTTGTTGTCCGTGTGTGTCTGGGGAGCGACCTGAGCTGGGGGAGCTGGCGCAGGAGCACTCTGTTGACCATTGGGCACTGTGGGAACAGTAGCATTTTGCCCGTTCTTGTTGAAGCTGACTGTGTTGACAGGGGTGATTGGGGTTGCCGGTGTTGGTGGCTCAGCATCCTGCGCACTGTCTGCGGCTGGAGTGGTGCCGCTGTTGAGGTTTGTGTTGGACTTCTTTTGGGTCGCAGCCTGTACAATGGTTAGCTCTTCGATCGACGTCGTCGGCTCATTCACAGCGCCTACCTTGGTCTTGGTGTTCTTGTTGTCCTTCTTCTTCGGGGCAGCCTTGTTGGACTGCGAAGGAGTGGGCGGTGCAGCCGTCGCCTGTTGGGGCGAGGATGTGCTTGTCCGGTTGGCGTTGGCACCAGTTGGCGCAGAAGGGGGCGGCATTGACCGTTGCTGCGGCGTGCCCTGAACCGGACCCTGGGGGCCTTGAGGCACCATCTGGTTGCCGTTCGGGCCGCCTTGCTGCCACTGCACTGGTTGGTTGCCCTGACCAGCCTGTTGGGGCTGTTGTTGCTGCTGGGGCGGCTGCTGCTGCTGCTGTTGCGCCTGCTGTTGCTGCTGCTGCTGCTGCTGCCGGGCGGCCATCATTTGTTGCGGGTTCATCTGGCCGTTGAACTGCTGACCAGGATGCGAGCTTGGGGGGCGCATGCCGCCATTCATCTGAGGGTTGGGAACCATGTTGCCGTCCATCTGGTTGCCCATACCTTTGAAGAAGTGAGGCGCCATGTTGGGGTCCATTTGGCTGTTCATAAAGTTCATGGGATTGGGGGAGCCGCGGGACTGCGCACCCTCGGGCAATGGCGACGGGATACCGGCGTTGTTCATTTGCGGCGTACCACGCTTCATCTGCTCCGTCGGGTTCGGCGACGCTCCGGTTCTACCTCCCTGGGGAGATGTCTCTGGGAACGGCTGCCCGTTGGGGCCAGGAGGGCCGCCTGGGCCGCCTGGGCCGGCCGGTCCGTCTCCTCTGGGCATGGCACCCCCCATGCTATCCTGCTCCTGTCGGGCCATCATGAGTCTCTTCTTATTCTGCTGCTCCAGAAGCATTAGCTGCATTTGATAGTCTTGCAGAGCGTGGTTACTTCCACCACCGGCTTGGGCACCGCCAGGGCCGGGCCTAATACCGCCGGGACCCATCTCCCCAGCATTGTAGTATGCAGCCAGCCCAGCCCCATCAGGGCCTTGCGCCATCATGGGTGAGCCCTGGCCCTGAGGGCCGGACGCGTTAGGCATGGGCTTGTTAGGCATTTGGCTAGCTTGATGTTGTTGGAGGTTTGCCGCATATGTGGCAATGGACTTAGCTTGGACAGCAGGTGGTTGATTTGAGAATGTCGTAAACTGCTGCTGGGTCAGCGATGCCGGGTTAATGCCGTTGGTGATGAGCATCTGCTGGGCTTGAGCTACGTTTGGGGTGGTCCCCACCTGCTGGCCCGGCATGCCCTGTTGTGGTCTTCCGTTCGGCATCATTCCGGGTTGGTTAGGGAAGTTGGGCGTTCCATCTAGGCGAGGTCTTTTGGAAGGCGAAGGGGCGTTTTCACCGGAACCGGGGGACGAAGGGCGCTGGCGATTTCCATCCATGTCAGAGGGGTCTCGTTGCATCTGGTTCTGCTTTGCATGCTGAAGCATCTGCATTGCTTGGGGGCTACGCGGGACAAGGTTAGCAAACCGAACAAGCGGTGAGTGGGCGTGGGAAGCTGTAGCGGCTCACTTGTTTTGGTTGTTGGCCATGGCCGTCCGCACAAGTTGGTTCTTTTGCATGTTCATGGCCATGCCTCCGTTTTGCATGTTGCGCATCATCTGGGAATGATACTGCTGCTGAGCGGCCAAGCCATCGGGGCGCATCTGGCGAAGGAGCTCCTGCTGCTGGTTCTGTCGCATGCGGGATTGCTGCTACAGAGCTTGGTTAGCGGTTGTACGCATGGTGCGCAGATGGGCCGGACGACATACCTGGGTGTGGCTGACGTATTGATTGACAGGGCCATTGCCACCTTTGGTGCGTTGCGCATGAAAAATGTCCCAGAATAAGCAGAACCACTCGTATAAGAAGGAGGATTCTGAGGCAGGCATGGGCAGCTTAGGGGCGGGCAGATCGTCAGGCAACTTGGCATCGATATCATCCTTAGAGTCGGTGTCCATGGGGTCATCGCCGAGGCCATTGCCCAGGAGGTTGCCGTTCTCGTCCCTCCGCCGGTTTGAGCCGTCCTTCATGACGTTTACTTGGTTATCTCCATTGAGGAGGGTTCGGGCGCAATCAAACATTTGGTGGCGGAGGAAGTACTCGTAGATGTAGGTATTGAGCAGGGTACGCTGGCTCTCGGTGGGAACAGGCATCTGTCGTGGACCGCCGGCGACTTGAGGCGCGACTGCGCCATTATTCATCATGGGGACGGGGGCGCCGACCGGGCCGCCCATGGCGTTCATGTTGGCCATGTTGGGATTGACGTTGACGTTCATGGTGGTGGGCTGGGCTGCAGACAGTTGTCTGCCCAGCAGGGTAGGGTGAGTTCGATACGGTGAAGAAAAGAAAAGGTTGGTTGAATGATGAAAGACGGTCCGGAGGCGAGGAGAGAGCGTCGAGGTCGTCAAAAACTTTCCAAATCAGCGACCGTCAAGAATGGCGCTGAGGACGTGGCTACGCGGTGCGCTAAGGAGCCGACTGGCGGGCAGGTGTGTTGGATTCAGCGGTAGGGCGCCAGGAGATCAGGCAGCGTTGAGTATTGGTGCAGTAGTTGAAGGAGAGAAAGGGAACGGCTGTTGTTTGAATAGGCGCGACGGATGGATGAGTATGCGCGACTCGTGATGGTGGCAGTATGCGATGGTACAAGTGGAGAAGAAGAGAAGAAAAAAAAAGGAGGTCGAAGGACGTGCAGCGGCAAAGGCTGGATTGGATGGTTGATGAGGGCGATGGCGAAGAAGGCGGCGAAGGCGAAAGCAGGGCCAGATGCAGATGCGGGTGTGGGTTGAGGAGTGGAAGTGGGAGTGGGAAGACAACCTGGGTAGGAGAAGGAGGAGGAGGAGGAAGAGGAGAAGCAGCGCGGCGGCTCGGGGGTCGGGGGTAAAGGTAGTTTGGCTTTGGCTTTTGGCTCCGGCTTTTGGGATTGGATTTGATTTTGGCTTTGGGGGTTTGGCCGGGCTGACTGCTGGGTGCTGGTGCTGCTACTGCGTCTTGCTGCTCTCCACGTCTCTCAAGTCTCTCGGGTGCGGTGCGGTTGCAATGCTCTGGCCAGGCGGCGTCGTCGATCCTAACAGCTAAGGGTATTATCCCGTAACAGGTCGAGGTTCCCTCTTCTCTCTCCCGCAAGCGCTAGGCCGATAAGGCGAAGTCGAGGACGAAGTCGACGATTGTCTCGGGGGGGGCGCGACGGCGGGTAACCATCAACGGAGGAATAGACGCGTATTCAAGGTCAAGTTGAGATTGAATACGTTCGGCATGCAAGGCCACCAGGGGGGGGTTTTGGTTGTTGGAAATGGGGAGGAAGGGGGGAGGGAGTAGTAGAGGAGGAGCAGCAGGATTGAGAGTAAGAGGAGGAGAGAAAGAGAGGGGCGCTTGGTCAACGGGACGGAGGAGATGACGGGACAAGGCAAAGGCAAATGGAAGGGAAGAGAGAGTGTCGGAGAGTGGACGTGGACGCGGACGTGGGAAAGGATGGGGTTGGGATTTTCCCAATTTTCGCCTGGGACGCTTGGGCAGATTTCGGGGGTGGGAAGTCTGGAGACCTGGAACTACGAGTTAGCTAACAGCTACGTTGGCTGCTCGTGGCAGGAGCTCGCTATCACCGCGGGTACACCTCAGAATGTGACGCGAACATTTGAGAACATGTGCTGCCTGAGGCCAGATTTCGGTATGCCAAAGGCAAACGGGGGCAAGGCTTCAAAGGACTGAAGAAGGGGTGGTAGGGGCACCACCACCTATCGCCCACTGTCTTGGGCGCCTTAGGATACATAACCAGCTAAATTCCCCTCTCAAAGCCCATTTCAACGCTGGGCTCTGCCCAAAAAGTGCTGCGTCCAGTACCGCGTTGCTAGTTCTTCCCTGCCCTGTCAGGTGCTGTAGGGCCAATTCTTCCGGTAGCAAAGGCTCTGCCCTCCCGGTACCCTCCAGTTCTGAGATACACTGACGCTGACACTGAGATGCCTTAGTTAGTGCAATTGCTGGGCTTTATTTTGTCCTCCGGGTTATTACGTCACGTAATAAGACACTGGAACCTTGCTGGCCGTTGCGAGATGAAAATATCGAGCTTATGCTCCGGCCTTTTGCTTTGGTGAAGCTGCGCGACTCCCTGTCGGTCTATTTCACTCTTTGATGCGTGTCGCATCGCATCGCATCTTTAAATGGAGCTCACATCACCCGGCGCGCTTCCTTAATTGTCTCAGCCAACGCGACCGCGCTGCCAGCGTAGACGCGTCACGCCACGCTACGCTGGCTGCCATACTCGCCCTATGTTGACCAACATCTCGTTCTTTTCCTCACATAGTTCCGAGCAGAGCCTCGCACTTTTCAATTGACCTTCTTTTTCCACATTTCGCGTGAGCAGGGTCGTCGATGGATCACGCGGAGGCCGAGGTGCAGACGCAACTGCTCATGCGGGCTCAGACAGACCCCCACCAACCACAGCGTCGCAACGTTCCCGTGGGTTGGCTGATATCCTTCGAGAGGCGCCCACTCCAGCTCATGCACCTACCCATCGCACATCGAAACCATCATAGGATCAGCCATTTCCTTATGTACTGGTTTCTAAATAAGAGTAAAAAGAAAAAAAAAATCTTTGACTTCACGGCCAATAAGCCCTCACGAAGCCAAATCCACTCACATTGTGTTGTGCTTCGACTCATGAGGGTTCGCTCTTCAAAGCTCTCCTTTGCAAAGGGACCTCGCTCGATAAGCTCAGGGTCCATCCACAGTCGAAATTAAAGGCGACCTAGGGACCATCGCTGGACCATCGCACGGACCCTTGCAATATCGCGACAGGTTCACCCCTCCTGCCATGATAATACAAGCCGAGATTGAAGTCATACTCAATGCATATGCGGTACCCAAAATTGGTCGTGAGTAACCTAACAACCCGGTGCACTGCGACTGTTGAGGGACTTGAGTGTCGCTCACTTGCTGTCTGCCTGTCGATCCTTCTATGGCCGGGCGACGCCGCCAGTGCGACTCGCCGGCTCCTCCTCCATCCCCCATATTTGCCGAAACCGGCCGGCATCCTGGGAAGAACACGGGGAGCTTCGCGCTTGCGACCTGCAACGAGCCAAGACGCGATGTCCGACCAGGCGCACCACCAGGCGAGCACAACCGTTTCTGTTTAGAGTCCCAAGAATCGGATATAACATCCGGGGGTTTTTTTTTCTAACCCAATAAACTCCTTTGCACATTGGCGTCCTCCTTGGCGAGGCTGGATTGACACACCTCGTCGTCAAAATTAACTCGCCTTACCGGCCGCGTGGATACAGACCAGGGCCAGACCCAACGTTGGGCATGCAGAATCCGTCGCCGCAAATATGGCTTACACGCGCGCCAAGGTACGGATACCACCACCATGGATAGTGCAGCCGCCCATAGCTTTCCTCGCTTTTCACTTTTTGCTTTGATGCATACTTATCGCTGCCAGAGCAGCCCTCAGCAGCCATGCTGCTGGGAATCAATCGCTCGCGTGGACCACTTGCTGTACGCACAAGTCTCCTTAGTATTCTTGACGATGCTTCGCTCTGCCTAATTGCCTTTCTAGCAATATGCGCCCCAATGCATGGGCCAGTGAGTTACCGGCTCTTCAACGCAACGCTTCCACGACGTCTATTCCCGGCGAGTCGCGTAGGACGACGAGACTGGAATCGCGCTACCCAGCTCATAGCCGGACTGCATCATCATATCATCGAGGCCTATCGACGATAGACCCTTGCTTGCAGTGCGGGAGGAAAGAAACAAATCGAAGTATACTACTCGATTTTGTAATAAGGAGAGACAACGCTGTGTTGCGGGAAAATTGCGATGCCGCTCAGTCATCTTCCGGTGGCAGTTCGTCATCAATGTACCGTACTAATGACACCCTCATCTCCGTCGTATCATGACCTCGTAGTATGTCGCTGATGAAATGCGCCTCTACTTGCATCTGCACCATCTCCAGCGCTCCTCGCAGCACACCGCAAAAAATATTGGAGTACCACAGCTCATCCTGAGCCCGCTCGTCATCCGGCAGCTCGACGAAGTCCGCCAGAGGATTCTCGTCAAAGACAAGTGAGAATTGCTTGTTGTCTGTCGTCCAGTTCGTCACCTGCGGCGTGATGTTGAGGAAAATCTTGAAGCCGACCTGATTTGTTCAATCGTCAGTACAAAGCCTTTTGCGAGGCGCCTCAGGGGCGGCGTCCTACTCTTGCAATCATATCTGCCGTCTCGCGAAAGTTTGCGCATCTCTTCATCGTGTTGGATTTGGCCAAATAGTCCTCAATGAGACGAAGCCCAATATTGTACCCCATCTTGTCCAGCTGCTTGTTGACCTCGGCGTAGTCGCTGTCGTAGTCCTTGCACAGTTGCGCAACGATCGTTCCGTAAGTGAGGGTGACGAGCTCGGCGTTCACTTTATCTATCCGTGTCCTGCAATCAAGAGTGTTAGAGCATTTTGTTCCTAGGTATACGTGGACCATGAGACGGACTTCCAGATCCTGCCAGGTGGTTAGCTTCTGTCATCTATCCACGCACGGCAGGGAAACATACTCCTCGCCCAAGCGAGTTGCCTTGCTTGAAGCCATGATTATGCTAGCAGCCTTTGAGGCCTGCTGTTGAGCTCGATAACCTCTGTAATGGCGTCGGGTATGAAGCAAGTCGAGGAATCTCGAAGCACGCTTGCCTTGTCAAATCGCAATCGCGTCGTTATCGTCTTGTGATGATCGTCTCTATCGCCGTCTTCGCCGCAGTACTGAAGTCGTCGCAGGTACTCTGACGTGGTAATGGTTCCGGGAGTCAGGATGGGCTGCCTTCAGGTCGCTGCTGTCGCAATAGTTCGGCGTTCGACGTTGACCGTTTACCGTTTATCATCGACGGCGAGGTGGGTATTGAGAGGGTGGAAATGCAGGGGTTGCTGTCTATCGGGATAGGGAGGAAGAATGGACAATGAATAAGGTACTGGTGCACCCCAAGGTCGAAGCTCCACTCTCCCTTTTCCCTTGGAGCTCGGGGATCGGCAGAAGCAAGCTCCGCTCCGCCCCCAACCTTGCGTGTGGCCAATGATCTCAGCAGCAACACATTTTCTTTGGTCTACAGCTGCTAAACCTCGTCCAGCAGCCTCAACCAGCCTCGACAAACCTCGATACGAAACGCGCGCCACTTTCTCACAGATACGACTTATCTGACCCCGCTGTCAGCATCAGTTTGAGATTCCGATTCGAATACCGCCATCATGTCTGCCGAAAAAAGACCGGCTTCTGATGAGCCTGGCGCGGGCCAGATGATCGTGAAGCGTCAGAATGTGGGATCGTCAACAGGAGCGCTGGCTCGACTCAATGCCTCGGGAAAGAGCAGCGCATTGGTTCAGACCGTAAGCAAACGAGACGTTATGGACAATTGACACTGTACTGAAAACATCATGACCAGACTCCCCGGACAAGCAATTTACAGGCACCGGTCATGGAACTCTCCGGCCACTCGGGTGAGATCTTTGCCGCCAAATTTGACCCTACGGGCAACTTCATCGCTTCCGGATCGATGGATAGGAGTATCTGTACGTTAGTTAATGTTGGTACTCCCAGAAACCGGCTCGCTAATACTTGTAGTGTTGTGGCGGACGTATGGCGACTGCGAAAACTACGGCATTCTCACTGGCCATCGCGGCGCTGTTCTTGATCTGCAGTGGTCAAGAGACTCCAAAATTGTGTACTCGGCTTCAGCCGACACACACCTAGCAAGCTGGGATCTCGAGAACGGCACTAGGATACGAAGGTACATTGGCCATGACGAAATTGTCAACACGATGGATATCAGCAAACGAGGCGAGGGTATGCTGGTGAGCGGTAGCGACGACGGCACGATAGGACTATGGGACCCAAGATCGAAGCACGCGGTGGATCACATTGAGACCGAGTTCCCCATCACTGCCGTTGCCATGTCGGAGGCTGGAAACGAAGTCTACTCGGGTGGCATCGACAACGACATCAAGGTTTGGGACCTGCGCAAGAAGTCGGTCGTGTACTCTATGCTCGGACACCAGGACACGGTCACCTCACTCCGAGTATCACCGGATTCCCAATCGCTACTGTCGTTCTCCATGGACTCTACGGTGAGAACATGGGATATTCGTCCGTTCGCCCCGACGGACAGGCACATCAGAACATTTGACGGTGCTTCGGTGGGCCTCGAGAAGAACCTCATTCGAGCCAGCTGGGACTCTGACGGCAAGAAGGTGGCTGTTGGTTCGGGTGATGGCACTGCCACCATTTGGTCTAGTGAGACTGGCAAGCTCATGTATAAGCTTCCTGGACACAAGGGGACTGTGAACTGTGTTGAGTTTGCGCCCGGCACGGAACCCATTGGTGAGTCTTCTGATTCATGTATCACTGTGACGATGCTGAGCTAACACATTGCCAAAGTACTTTCTGCATCATCTGATCGCAACATGCTTCTTGGAGAGCTGCGATAATCACGACACGCCTTTTCATAAGTCAATCCGCTTAGCAAAAGGATTTCTCAGCGTGCCTTTTTGTCGATGTGTACACTCATGTTGTAGTAGCACGCGGCTCAACTACGGACCGCCGATGAATTGGGCCGAGATATGCGATAGCGGGGAAACTATTTTGCACGGAACCAAGAGCACGCACTGTCAACGCTCCGCATACGAACAGTCGGGCCCGCGGAAGCTGAAGCCGGACTCTTGCCGCTCAACAACAGTGGTATGTTTGCATGGCACGAAAGGATATATAGACGATTCAAGGCCGAAAATGTGCGGCGTTTGTTCCTGGTAAGGCTGGTGAGGGAGGTTTTTACCGTGTGGGGACTGTTCCATCAATACGTCGACGGACAATGAGGCAACGGCCTCGATGATACCCTATAAATGGCTCGGAGGGGTCGTTGGAAATGGCGTACGTAGTCTCAAGAGAGGACGTTTGCCGGCGAGTGACACGGCCCAGAAATGTCCGTCTGGTGTCTGCATTGGCTCTCGGGAACAACCCTGAGACAGCCTCGCATGGTTCCCCGTGTCGTGAGAAACGTGGCGCTGGCAATGTGACCTCACCGAGGAACGACTCTCCTGAGGCGAGGTCTGGGGGAATAACGTTTGACATCTAATGGGTCGTTTGGTGTCTGCGCATAGACGAGGCCTCCCTACGTTGTCGGGCTTCCATCAACCAGTTTGTGAGCCTGCAGCAACGAGCTCGACAAGAAACCTTGTGTGGTGAAGGGGGTTTTCTTCCGACCACTAGACAGGGGCAATCGTTACTTGGGGCCCATCTGAGGTGGACTGAGTTCTTCTACGGTTCGCTCTCGAAGCAACGCAGGATGACCTTAAGATTGCTCTTGTGGTCTGCGCTTTGTGGTTCTGGTGGGAAGGGGAAAGGCTCGACGAACTTTATCGGCTTTGTGGGGGACGTGAATTTTGCTGGCAGCCGGAGAGACGCGCCATCTTACGACCGAGGGAGCTATTTGTGGAGTGCAGGCTGCAGGCGTCTCGACAACAGAAGTTGGATGGACGAATGTGCGACTTTGGACGATGGTTATGACACCGGGGTCAAGGTGGACGTGATGCATCTGCTTTACAAAGGAAGGGTTGCAATTCTATCGACCAGTACAGCAACCGAATCGTGTACCCTGGGCACGCAACAGAGGTTCCGAGATTTGTGTGCAGCGTCGCATGTGGAGGAGGCAGAACGAGCCCCAGCTGTGACGTTGTATAGGAAGAATCGAGTTGTCTCAAGTGAACGTATCCGTACCTTATCTGCAAATAGTGACAGGCCCCGTTCTTTATCGGGAGGCTCCTCTCTTCTCCTAGTTTTGCAAAGAGAAATGCATCTAATTGCAAGTGGAGGCCGGAGGATGTCAGCCCCGGGAGCTCGGAGCTGTGAAATGAAAATTGGCCCGGCTCCAACAGGCCGGCGAGTATTAGTAGCAGCAGCAGCAACAGCAGCAACATCAAGTCGTCTTGGCTGGGATAAGACACACCTCAAACCACAGAAGCCCCTTTATGCCACGAGGGCTGAAGCACGAATGGCTGCCATTCTTGCCGTCAACGTTACCTACTACCTATGCCTATACTTATGCTACCTTACAACAACAACAACAACAACACCACCACCACCCTTATTCTTTGGTAGCTGCGTCGAGGGACTCGCAGCTCCTTGAGACTCCAGACGCCAAACGCCAGCCAAAACTGTTGGTGGCTTGCGTCTCCAGAAGGCAACCACAACGTCGGTAGACCGGATGCGGACTAGGCACCCAGGGGCGATCAGGGATGGTGAAATCTGAAACCCGCTCCTTCTCCAGCCAACCCCTGGGCCGGTGCCTTTTTCGCCTCCTTGCCGTCCGGGGTCAAATTCATTGGGTCCTGCGTTCCCAAAAAACAACCCCCTTGCCAATTGTGCAACACCCGAACTGTCAGAGAAGTCAACAAATGACGGCGAATCCATTCCATCCCATTGCCCTTTCTCTGCCTTCTTCCTTGCACTTGGAGCCTTTCAAACCCCCGAGTCGCCCTCCAAATCCTCAAAGGGCACAGACAGGAAACGCTGCTCCTTGCCTGGTCCCTGATGTCCTTGGCCTGGTTTCATTGGACTACTCTTGTCTGTTTGTGCGCCCCAACTCCCTCACTCTCTCCCTCTCTGGACTCTAGGTGCATGTAAGAAGAAGTAGCAACTCACCCCCAATGCTTTTCTCGGCGAGGCCCTTGCGACAGCAATGTGCAAGGGTTTAATGCAGGTGCAACATATTCCCGTCGTTGATGCCGCAGAAACTGCACGTTTCCTACTCCTATCATCCGCATCCCAGTCTCGTCCCGTACTTACGAGCCTCTCTCACCCTGTCCTTTTTCTGTCTCTTCGTATCCTCCCATGCCTCCCTCCTTCTCCCCCGAGCCTCAGCGTCGCAGGAGTCGCAGCATCCTAGGTACACTGGGACAAGACTGGCGTCTGTGTGACCGAGCTCGCCGCTTCTTTTTCTGTCCTGTCCAGTGACGCGGTACGCTACTCGATCCCCATCTAATCCCCTCGCACGGCTGCAGACGCCAGACTGCAAAAGTCTCCCTCATCCCGCGTCTGTCTCCTTCCCGTAACCCACCCGGCTCGACGACTCCTTACCTAGCCTAACCTTGCCTTGGAGCATCTTAGCGAACCGAACGGCTAGCTAGCGGACGGATGCCGACAACACACGGAAACGGCGCTTACCAACCTATAGTTCCTCTTGCCTATCGTGCCCTATTCCCTTCCCTCGATTCCTCTCTCTGGCGGAGCCAATCCTCTCCTTCTCAACAATCTATCCCGCTCAGCGTCATGTTGGCGCCAGCTGACTCTTTGGCGTCGTATTCATCGTCTGCTTCTTGCTAGCTTCTGTATCTTCTTCCCCTCGTTATCTCTCAAATTTCTTGTCTTCAACCGCCACGAGACGGCGCTACTTGTCGACTGTACCCTTCAAGGCTCTGGGAGTCTAGTACATTACGTTGCCTTAGCCGGCGTTGTTCTTCTTGATACCCCTCCCTGCTATTTTCACGCGGTCGCGAGCATCCCTCCCTTCAAACGTCGGATTCTTTCTCGGCCATTCAGACGCCTCGTTTCTATCCCTTAGGAGCCTTTGGTCGCCTGACGCCTTCAATTCATTGTTCTTCGATTTCCCATTTTGTCTACTTACACCGTTACCCGGCCGTTGTCAGCATCCAGCCATCCCGCGCAACGAGACGGCAACCTTTGTTCTTCCCACCATTGCTGACTCGCCGGCCACCTCGACCTGACCGAGAAGGGCCACCCTCGCCGCCTTCTACGCCTTTGGCGCCGTCGACGGACTCTGCGGGGCAACTACGAAACACTCGGCGGTGACTCGCGCTTATCCGATAGACGCATACTTCGAAGCATGATAGAACCTTGATCGGTGATATCTACAGCTCATCTGCCGACTCCCAATACGAGGAGTGACCGACCAACCGACTTGGACCATTCGCCATGGAGTTCCTGCGCCGAGGACGGTCTTCCCAAAGGGAGGACGTCGAGCAGCAGGCTTTGGCAGGATCATCAACGCAGCCAGAAATGGAGGAAGGATCACGGCCCCGCTCGAGACGCTTGCTTAGAACACGACCTTCACTCACCTCAAGACACCGTCCCGATAACGGGATGCAGAGACTTGACGAAGAAGGAAGGAACACCCCTAAAACTCCCAGATTCAACCTGGGTCTCCCGATACTCCCAGGAACCCGTCTTAATCTGCCGCACCTAACGAGAACATGGACCAGCGGCTCCAATGGTCCAGTTTCGCGACCCAGTTCGATACATGAACCTCTGAACCGAGTAAACGATGCATCACCCGAACCCTCCCGAACCCGGGCTGAGGGGCCACCGGCTACCTCAGTAACAGCGCCAGCACCCGTGGCCCAAGTATCCCGACCCCAATCCACTGGCAGGACAAGGAGATTCACCGGGCCGGATCCGGCCGAGATGCATCTGGCGCAGATGGCTCAGGACGGGCGGCGGCGTAGACGGCGTGCACATCGCCGTCAACAATCGAACAATGACGAGGGACACCCGAAACGGTTTCTCCTTTGCATCCCGTGGCCAAAGTCTCGGCGCATGAGGTCGCAGATTCTTCGGTGCTTCATATCGGGCTCTTTCTTAACGTTACTTCTGGCAGTTTGTGAGTACAACTCCGGCTAGGTGCTTCCGTATGGAACGTGTGACTGACCGCATCACCAGACCTAGCCTTGTCTCTTACACAGAACATCCGCAGTAGCGAGTTCACGGTGCTGCTGATACTTATCATCTTGTTTGTCACCGTCTTCTTCTGCCATGGCTTGATTCGCCTTTGCATGATTGTCATCCGGCCCCGACCCGACGACGAGGCTAGGTCGCCGATGCCACAACTCCTAGCCCCCGGCGGGTATGCTGTGCCTCGAGAACCTATCCGGGTCGTGCTGGCACGCGATGAAGAGGAGCAAGGAGAGATCAGCGAGGCGGTATTGGCCAAGCCGCCTGCATATGGCCTGTGGCGAGAGAGCGTGGTATGTATTCGCAGACGGAATGCAAGTTTATGGGCAAGAGACTAACTCGAAGCTCTTACAGAGAGTTGACCCAAATCGTATGTACTGGCAGCGTAATCCGAATGTCGGACCGAACGTTGGACCGTTCAATTCCGGAGAGAGTCATAGTGGGCCTCGTCCGCCCTCGTATGCCTCGGAAGACGGGGTGAGCTACGTCGTTGACGCCAGACCCCGGTCGATGGCGCCGGTTCTGACGGAGATCCCAATGCCTCCGCACCCTTCCGAGATCGGGCGGATGGGTGAACGCCGGGCTCCGGTATGAGCCGAGAACGATGGCATTGTTTCCATGCGATGAGCCCGTGGACCTGTTACATCAGTGATTGCACATTTGGCGGCGTTCGTATAGGTTTGCACTGGGAGTGGGTGATGTGCGGCACACAGATGACGGTACCGGTGCAGGTACGGGTCAAGACAGCAGAAAGTGAAAGAGTAATTACGAGTGTGCGCGCGTCTATAGTCTGGCCGTGTTAACGAGCGCCTCGTTACTGTGGCCGTCAAGTTGGATTTGGCGCGCCATGTCAAACCCGGCATTTGCAATATCGCAAAATGTAGTATACATGTAGTATATATCCGATGAGCTCAGGAGGAGCAACAAACATGGCGTGGAGATTCCAACAGCTTCAACCCCTGTTATGTACTTTCAAGCTGGCAATGCCAGGGAAAAGCAGCTGGCAGTGTCTTAGAACCAGGTGCACATGTTATCCAAGCATGATGCGCACCAGTTGAGAGAGGCTTCCTGTGGGAGTGGTCCCCCCTCGGACTGTTCCAGACGGGCCAGCAACGACGAACCCAGCCAATGTGTCGTTGGCTGCTAGACGGATATACCGAGTGGCAATGATTTTAGCCATTTTCAGATCAGGTGCACAATACTGCGCGCACAGCTGTAGGACCTCACGGAGGACGGACTGGGTGGGGGCGGTATGTATGTCGGTGTATGATCAAGATGGGTGCGAATCTTCAAAGTCATGTCAGTTTGGTTGCTGCAATGCCGGCTACCCGCACCGCAGGGTTATTGATTGCCTTTGCGGGATGTGTGTGCGAAGAAACCCAATTGTTGCGCACGTACAGAGGCCACGCAATCGGTTCATCGCAAAAAAGGAAGAAAAACAAAGGAAACAAAAAAGGACGTCCGTTGGCGAGGCTATCATCTGTGGGTGCTTGGGACCCTGCAGAAGCGAGCAGCAGGTTTGCGATCCTGCCTTTGAAGCTCAGGGCACATGCGGCGGCGGCAGCAACAACTGGGCCTCAAGCAGGGGGGCAAGGTGGCATCAAGACATGCTGAGCATTGCGACACACGGGCAATGGCATGAACTCGGGTCAGGCACCACTACCACATGGACGCGGGGGATGTGATTTCGGGCGGTCTGCAACACATGAGGCGGTATCTGTAGGTGAAGAGGCAGGCCTCGCCAGTATGAGGGTTTTGGTCCGAATAGTTCGCTTTGGTGGGCGTTTAGCGCGCCGAGTTTCGAGGGGCTGGCAAGGGGGGGCAAGCTCGGAGAGGAGAAGAGCGTGTCGCGTGGGATTTAAAGTGGCTCCAGCGGCGTGGTGTGCGCCAGGGGAGAACCCACCCACTAGTCATTCTACGAGGATGCTCTGTAGGTAGTATCATGGTAGTTGAGTGAGTGGGTTGCAAAGGAGCTGTGGCGGAATGTTTGGGCTCTCGTGTTTGATCTGGAGTCGGTCGAGGACATGAGCCTCCCGTTCGTCAGGATTCCGGGCGATGCCGAGCGGCGTTGGCTTATCGCTTGCGAGGTTGGCCACGGCAGACGAGGGCACAGCTGTACAAGAGTAGAAAAGAGTGTGGCATGGAGTAGGTCAAGGTTTGAATGAGAGCAAGGCATGAAACCTGCATGGCACAGCCTTTCTCGGAATGGTCTGGAAGCAGGAGACCAGGAGCAGAGTGGGAAAAAGGCCAAACTCTGCGTCCTTTCTCTTCTAAACTGGGTAGTACGCGGCGTGTCTAGTGGCCTGCCTACCTAGGTGAGGGCCGAAGTGGACGTCTGAGAGGTGAAGCGAAAGTGAGATAAGACGAGATTGAGAAAGCGGTTGGTGGCCCTGAATAGGCGAGAGACCAAGAGTGACTTGATGGGGTACCGCTGCGATACTTGGTCCCGGCGTCATTACATGTCTCTCTCTTTCTCTCTGTTGGTGGCAGGGCGCTATTGTTTCCTCCCCGCCCTCCCACCTTTTTTGACGTCGTGGTGAATGGCGGAAGCCCCCCTGGTGGTCCGTGTGTGTCCCGAAAGTCCCTCCCGCATACCTACCCAAGTATTCTTCCGTACTGGGCCGTTTACCTGGTGTACCGAATCGAAAGCTGAGACAACCTGACAGAGTCGCTTCTGACTTGGGCCTTTCCTTCACGTCAAAGTTGCTTTTGGACATGGGTTGCAAGAGACCGTGCGCCTCACGATTGTTTTTTGTCGCCGACTGCTCACATGGACCTCTTTCGACATCTCGCCAGACGTGGATGAAGGCATTTGGAAACTCGAGTCAAGATATGGTCTATCTCCCAGCTCTACCCTGCCCTGCCCTGCTTACTGGCGTGGGAGACTAACCATCAATCCTCGTCAGTGGTCACTCACTTCCTAACATTACATTGGCCTCTGGGGACGAGCGGACAGCAGGAGCGCGTGGGTTCGAATGCAGGTGGGCTTGAATGCATGTCAAGAGCAACCCGGGTCTCTCCCATCCCTCTTTTCCGCGGCCCAACTAGAAGTTTGGAAGGAACGCATGCAGCTTCGGTATGCATTCATACGTAGTTTCCTCCTACCTACTAAGGTACCCTTATCTAATACACTTCCGTCGTACCCGTGGATGAGGTACTCGAGATCAGGACGAGTTCCCCTCTTCAGGCGTGCGCCTCGTCCATGGAAGGAACACACGTATGCCAGTGTCGGACCAATAGGTATGCCAATGGGCAACTTGAGTATGCCTTCCCCTTCCCGTTCCAAGGAGCCTGTCACCTGTTGCAAGGTACCCACGTTACGCCGGTACGAGCTCCCAAGTCCCACCCGCACCTTGCTTCATCGCCTGCCTACGCGCTTCTCCTACCCAACCCAGTCGAGTCCAGCCCGGCCCGCTTAGAGCACCTGAATCCAGCCCAGTCCGGGCCCGTCCTTTCCTTTCTAGACGTGTTCAGGACGGGGATTGTGCCTCGAATCGCCCCCCCTTTCTCACCCGACGCTACTGCAGTGACTGGCCGATGAGGGAGGGGAGGCTCGGCGATGGAGATGGACGAGGGAGAGGAGCAGGCTGAAGCTGCTCTGAGTAGGTTTGGTTGTATTGTTGAATGGAGGCGAGGGAGGGAGAAAGGAGAGGGCGGAAGGAGGGTGACAGGACCATTGCCCCGGGTTCATACTTTGTGGTGGTTTCCTGCTTCTCCTGCCAAACATCGTCTTACATACTATGTACACATGCGTACACGCACACGCACACACACACACACACACTACTTACTGCCTTACTCTTCAGAAAATTTTCCCCCTAGTCAAGCCCGATCAGATCGTCTTTGGGTTGAATCCTTCTCGTCTGCAGAGTCGGGGTTCTCTGTTAAAAAGAAAGAGGGAAAAAAAAGAATCTTACCCGGAAGCAAGTTTCCTCGCCTCCGTTCCTTCTTCCCCGTCCACCCCCGCTACAGTCACTAGACCCCTCTTCCTTCACAAACCATTTATTTTTTGTCCCCTTCCCTCCCCTCCCACCTTATCAACCGCAACTCTCTTCGCAACGACCTCGAGCTTCCCGACTTTCCAAAGGCAATTTTTCGCGAAAAGGTGAGTTTCGTCCTCGACTTTTTTGCATTTGCAGTCGCGCACAACCCCTCTGGTTCACCTCCTGCCTCTGCCCTCCACCCTCTCCCTCCCTCCCTCTCTCTCTGCATCTCTCTCTGCATCTCTCTCTGCATCTCTCTCCGTCCCCGTGTCCCTCTTCCCAGTCATTCCACACCCCTCGCCATGTGCTCCCTTCCCCATGCGGCATCGCGACCTTCCCTTCGCCCTGTCGTCGCATCAAGTGTATGCGAAGCACCGAGGGCCGCCCAGCCCAGCCCGTTCCAGCATAGCAATCGCCCTGGCCGCAGCCGCAGCCCCAGCACACAGTTCGCATCGCATCGCATCGCATCGCGACAACACATCCAGCGCAAACCAATGATATCGATCTCCTGCCCTTATCGAGTCGCCACGTCTTCGACGACCGGGTCATTGCCATCTGCGGCATTCAAGACGGCTCTACCTTTACGTCCTTGTCTGCATTACGCGATGCAGCCGCCGCCGCCGCCGCCGATGCGCTAACCCCGCCTATTGGTCTGGTTGTAAATCCACTCACCATCGCCGGGTTTCGGCGCATCACAGTCGTCTGCCCTGGTAACAGCACAACGCCGGCCTCCAACTCTCTCTCCGTCGCATCTCTTGGAAAGTCCCCCGCAGCCGCACACATCGCCTGCACCAAATCACACCGAACCCGAAGCCCGAATCGACCCTTCGTCGGCACTGAACCACAGTTGCGCTGTCTTGCTTGCTGTCAGCCCCGCGCGCTCGGCCCCGCGCTCTCGATTTCGAGCCGATGCGCTGCTCCTCCGAAAAGCCCTTGGTGGATCTTCTACGATAATCCCTCAACCGCATTACGGCCACCACAATGCCAATGCCAAGTAACGAACTTGATACGTCAGGGGTCCCACAGAGGCGCTGTCCTTGGGATGGGGAGAAGCAACTGCTTCACAGCGTGTCGTTACCAGCGCTGGATCGGGCATGAACTTTCCTTACGGCCTGCAATGGCAGTCGCTGTTGACTCCAGCCGTATGCCGTTGCGGAAAGAACAACCGTATTGGGCCACTTGATTGCGCAATTGCCGACGAGGATTCCGTTGCGGTGTTGCTGCGACTAAAGTGCAAGAAACGGTGTTTTGGGCTGGGCTGTATTGCATTCAAGATGCTGTGTGCTGTGCGAAAATTGGCTCTTGATTTGGGAATGGCGAATGCCGTGCGGACTGGATATCGCCGCTACGCAGTGTGTGGCAGGCATCGGATGCATGAGACAATGCTCTCGACACGTTGGCTAACTTGAACCATCTCAGTCAAATAAACCATCAAAATGTCTTCCCTCTCTCGTCGCGCCTGCTACAAGTGTGGCAACGTCGGCCACTACGCCGAGGTTTGCTCCTCTGCCGAGCGTCTCTGCTACAACTGTAAGCTGTGCGCTTCCCCAATGGCTCCCAAATAGACTGCTGACTGTAGAATGCAGGCAAGCAGCCCGGTCACGAGTCCAACGGCTGCCCTCTGCCCCGCACCACCGAAGCCAAGCAGTGCTATCACTGCCAGGGCCTTGGCCATGTACAGGCTGACTGCCCTACCCTGCGCTTGAGCGGCGCTGGCACGAGCGGCCGCTGCTACAACTGCGGTCAGCCCGGTCACCTCGCTGTAAGAACATTTGGACCCCTGGTACCTACCCATGACTTGGATTGTTGACATTTGAGTAGCGTGCTTGTCCCAGCCCTGCCGGTGTCAACATGGGCCGCGGCGGTCCTGTTCCCCGTGGCGCATACGGTGGTTACGGCCGCGGTGGCTTCGCCGGTGGCCCCCGTCCCGCTACCTGCTATAAGTGTGGTGGCCCCAACCACTTTGCCAGAGATTGCCAGGCTCAGGCCATGAAATGCTACGCCTGCGGCAAGCTCGGCCACATCTCGCGGGACTGCACCGCGCCCAACGGTGGCCCTCTCAACACTGCGGGCAAGACCTGCTACCAGTGCGGCGAGGCCGGCCACATCTCTCGTGACTGCCCCCAGAAGAACACCAACGGCGAAATCCCCAACGAGGTTGACTTGACGGCCGCCCCTGGCATCCCTCAGCCCGCTGTTGCGCCCATCGCCCCCGTCGCTTAGGCGGCGAATGCGGCCATGTCCACTCTCAGACGAGGCGACTTCCTGGCCTCGGCCAGCAAAACTAGTCTGCGATTTCCGCAGCTAGTCCTCCCCTTGTGCGACGTTGCTTATGTGACGCCGCTTGCTTATTGTTTCCAGCACGACCACTCACGCCTCTCCAACGTATCTACTACTACTGCACCTTCCCCTTTTCATTCTGGTTATTATTTCAATTTCTGCACAAAATGGGTTCGTCGCCAATCGGCATCCTTTGCTTTACACGGCGTCTACACGGATTCCCCTTCGTCAACACGATTCATTTTCTGGAACAAAACGGGAAAGGCTTCCTTTCTTCATAGTATCCTTGGTTCTTTGCAACGACTCTCACGACGGACGGTCTCAACGTATTTGAATGCATCTTCGTTCCATCAGTTGGAAACAAAAGTTCAAGGCCCTCGCAGCAACCTACGATCCAGTTGGGCTCGCCTTAGCTACTTGCGGTTGGGTATCCCACCAAGTAGCACAGGCAGCGATGCCAGTAAGCGCGTTGCGCAAACCTGGGCACAAAACGACAGCAAGGAGAACATACCACAGGACAGCGGTGTAGAGGTAGCTTGTGGCTAGGGATTGGAACTGTCGTTATGCATCGGTTCACAGGAGCCCGGACGGGCCGCTTATGCTAGCTCTGGGCGAATGCCGACTGAACATAACGGACTAGGAAAGATTCTTGGAATGGAAGACGGGGGCTTGGGGGGAGAGGTGAGAGATCCGAGTATCGTATGAAGAAGAAGAAGAGTTTTGGGGCGGTGGAAGTGGTTGTTGAGTAGAAGACCCTTTCGAAGGGAGAAATGGTGGACACCCCGGCAAAGCTGTTGTGGCGTGACGCACAAAAAAAGAAGCTGTTGTTGTTTGAGTTGCCCGAGTGTCTTTGGAGGAGGGGCGTTGCAGTTGTGACGGGTGATCTGAACTGGATAACGCTGTGGCGGGTAGGATGCAGCTGAATGGACGGCCGAGGATTCGTATGCTGAAGCCACGCCATAGCGTCGGGATTGAAGGACACGCCAACATGTTTCACGATCTTCTACGGATTATCATGGCATGGATTTTACGCAAGCTATTGGCACAAGATAGATATGTCAAAACTCGGAAACACGACAACGGAGGGGGGCCTAGAGTTTGCACTGGGCCCCATACGGCCAGCTCTTGTATGAGCTGATCTGGAGCTGAAACAATGCCTGAAATACGAGTCTGGCCGCAGGCTCAACCGGGCGTCCACAGCCGGCGGATGCCGTTCTCTTTCCGACAATTAGGGCTGGGCGTGGTCTTCAATCCTTCTGCATACATCGCCGCTCATCGGTTATTGACGCCGATGACAACGGGGCAGAGTCAAAGTGTGGACTCAGGCCTTCGGCGTAACCGGACGTAGGTGGGGCCCGACGGCGCGGCAGAAGCTCTGACCATCCGCTCCCGTGATTTTTCCTAGAGGCTTGCAGTCCGGGTCCAAACTTCCCTGCTTTGTCTTGCCACGTCATGCCAAGGTGCTCATCGCCCCTCATCCATCATACCACTGCCCTCTAAACTGAGATTGAACACTCATGTGCAGGCTGCGATGGTAACTCGATGGAGAAGACCATACTTAGAACTTCTCATACCCCTCTTTACTGCATCTTATCTTACCCGATGCTCTGGGTCAGCCACGGATGAAAGCGGGGTAAGATGTAGACAGCCTGCTTCAGGCGCTAATCAACTCTCAGGCGACTCGACACGTGAGGTGGTCTTGCATGCTGCAGCCTGCATCGCCGACGCCATCTTATGGACGCTGTCGCGCTACAGCCCTGGCGTAAGGGAAGCTGTCAGCTTAACACACCCTTTCTGCCTGTCTCTGCCTATCTACCTGATGGCACGAGACGGCCTGGCTATGAAACGAGTCACTGGTTGTTGCACAACTGGAAGCCCGCCATGCCTGGCCTGTTTTCTATGCAGCTGGCTTGCCCATCGAGCGATGGTGCTCGCCCGAGTTTTCTGTCGTAAGCCAACGTGTTTTTAGTTAACACAGAGCCTCATCTTGCCAGGCTAGGCCTGCAGGGTACTTTGGGTCCTGTCGATTTATGTATATATATATATGGAGGACGCCGCCCCCAGCCTGCACTTCGTGGACAAAGTGTCTGGTCTTATGTTGCTGCACCCTCTCCTGCCTCGGTCTGATCCTTCTTGTCCAGGCATTTTCGTGCGGCTCTTGCGGTTCCAGACGTTGTCTTTTACTTCCCCCAAGTTTTAGAGTCGTGCAGCTGAGGCCGCCTGCCTCGTTAGCACTACAAACTGAACGACGCAGCCCAGCCGACGCTGCTAAAGTAGCTTAGGTCAGCTGAATGAGTGTTAGCAAGCGCGATACTCATCATCAGCCGCCAGGCCTGTGACCGCATTTCCATGCAATCTCTGAGATGCTTCCCACCATGTCGTCAAACAGCAGCTCCAGTTCCGACACGGAATCCAGTTCCTCATCTGTGGTGCGAGACAATATTAACCACCCGCACCACCGACCATACCTAGCCAGCATGCCCGTGACCGTCAGCAAACCCCGAAAGACGAGACAACAGCCTCCTCAGGATATCATCGACGAGTTCTGGGCAAAATTTACCACCAAGACCCCAGGCAAAGGTTGGTCGTCTCCCTGATCCTGATGCAAGTGGCATTCCACCGCTTGCTTGAACGCAAAACGAGTCTAATCAGCGTGGCTAGCCACAACTGTCATTCCCCAGAACGCATATGCAGAAAGAGTTGCGAAGCGAGCTGTTACTGCCAAAGGCATCGGCACTCAAATTTCGTACGATGAGGCTGCAACTGTCTGCAGAGCCAAGGTCGAGAAGATTGTACAAGAATGCCGGCGGGTGAACCAACGCTATAGAGATCCTCATTATGACATCGAATTTGACTTGAAGTTTGGGCGACGAGACTGCCTCGAATCACTCTGGAATATCAAGGGGAAAGAGCATCCTCAATCCCTGTTCCACCCGAAAGCCGTTAAACGTGTTGTCGACATCTTCGATAACCCGCAGTTTTATATCGACGGACCCACGGCCAATGATGTACGCCAAGGTCGGGATGGGGACTGCTGGCTCATGGCTGCGTTATGCAACCTCAGCAACAAGCCTGGCCTAATCGAGAGGGTTTGCGTTGCCCACGACCAAGATGTCGGCGTGTATGGGTTTGTCTTTCACCGCGACGGGGAGTGGTTCAGCGAGATCATTGATGACAAGGTACGCTGCTATGTAGTCTCCCCATCTTTCATAGTTCAAACGGCTCAGTCTGCAGCAGCGGGGACAGGAGGCGGCGTCTGTCATTTATGCTGACCTGCATCGCAGCTGTATCTCACAAAACCCGACTATGATGAAGGGTATCTCGAACGTATTCTCTGGGAAGATAGAGAGCGCGTCAATTCAGAGGAGGCCTACAGACGCATCTACCAGACAAACAGCGGTGCGTTGTACTTTGCCCAGTGCGAGAATCCAAATGAGACATGGCTGCCTCTCCTCGAAAAAGCCTATGCGAAGGCGCATGGCGATTATGCATCCATAGAGGGCGGCTTTACCGGTGAGGCCATTGAAGACCTAACCGGAGGTGTCACCTCTGAAATATACACGACCGACATTCTTGATAAGGAATACTTTTGGAACGAGAAGCTCCTCAAAGTCAACCAAGACTGGCTTCTGGGCTGCTCCACAGGATTTGCATCAAGAGGCTGGGGCGAACGAAAGGGTATCATAGAGATGCATGCCTATAGTGTCATGAAAGCAGTCGAGATGGATAGCCAGAGACTAGTCTTACTTAAGAATCCTTGGGGCAAGGGGAATGGAAAGGTGCCTGGAGTGAGTGGTGTCTCAAGATCGCGCTACGCATTACTGCTACCTTCTGCTGACCAAAAGTAGGCGACGGCTCCAAGGAATGGACCCCGGAGTGGTTACAAAAACTTCAACATACGTTTGGCGATGACGGAGCTTTCTGGATCTCCTACGGCGACCTCCTCAAGAAGTACAACATCTTCGATGCGACTCGGCTGTTTGGCCCTGACTGGGAGGTCACGTCCATTTGGACAACTCTTTCGGTACCGTGGACCCTGGATTACCATGATACATACTTCGCCTTCACAATCTCAAGGTCAGGCCCCGTGGTTCTTGTTCTGGCACAACTAGATGAGCGCTACTTCCGAGGGCTCGAAGGACAGTACAGATTCGACTTGCAATTTCGTCTGCACAAAGCCGGCCAGGAGGACTATGTCGTACGGAGTCAAGCGTCTTATCGCATGAACCGGTCAGTCAACGTTGAGCTCGATCTCGAAGCCGGTAGCTACGAGGTTCTCGTCAAGCTGGATGCGGTCCGAAACGACCAGGTTCTTCCCATCGAACAGGTCATTCGGAACAATGCCAAGGGCCGTCGCGAGAAGCTGATCCGAATAGGATTGGCATACGACCTTGCTCACAGCAAAGGGAAAATAGTGGAGTCGTCTAAAGAGAAAGCAGCTAGAGAATCTTACGAGAAGAAACAGCGGGAAAAGAAACGTGCCGAAATCAAACAAAAGATCATCGAGAAACGAGAGCAACAACATTATCTCAAGGTCAAAGCCATCAAAAAGAGACAGAAAGAGGAGGCAAAGCGCAAGGCTAGGCACAAGGCTAGAGTTGAGAAACTCAAGGCTGCAAAAGGAACGCCGTTCGTACCGGGGAGAGTCCGTCCTATGCCACCAAACCAACCAGAAATACCTGACGAGCCCCTGGCAGCCGTAGAGCCACCAAAACCTGCGGCGAGAAAACGTGTTCAAATTCAAGAAACTGACTCTGTGAATCTTGAGTCTGCAACCAATAATTTGACGATATCGAAAAAGCAGCAGAGTCACGAGAAACTTACTAGCCATGGAGATGTTACTGCTTCTGAAGAATCGCCAGCCTCTTCCCATACCCGTACCCAAGATGGAGCAAGACCACCCATGGAAAAGCAACCCGAGATAATCGCCCGCTACACGGAAGAGTTATCCAAAGAACTACCAGATACCATCATCGAGGCTCGACAGTCGAAAAGTGATGCGCGTGATGTCAGCAGTATCAAGAGTGAAGGCCATGAAGCTACTCCGCAAGAGAGCGAAGCGGCCAAAAGCGAAGCAACAGCCCCTTCGGAAGCCTCCGAACTCTTGCTATGCGAATCAGATGACGAGTTTGCAAGTGTCTCCAGCTTGTCAGAGCTCTCCGAGCGGGAACTGGAACTCGAGATTGATGCAGTAGAGGCACAAGAACGCCCTCCTGTCGGTCGTGTGCCGCCGCAACCAGCCATGACGGCACCCGTAGACGACCAGGATGAGTTTGAGAGGGACCCTTGGAACGCCGTGGCTGTTGTGGGCCTTCGAATATACTACAAAAAACCAGAAGGTTACCAAGACGAAGTTATCGTCAAGCTACGAGCCGTGCGACCAAACCCTTACGCCAAAGAGGAGGAAGAGATACCAAAAGCCTCAGACCCAGGCGACAAGAAGTCGAAAGGCCTGGATGTAGACGACAGCGCCAAAGATGCCACTCTGGAGGGTGAGATTAAACAGCGAAAGAAAAGTATCAGGCCTACCAGTGAGGATCTCAGCGATGCCTCGGTGTTGGTGTGTTGCGATACTGGCAGGAGGACGCGGGCTGCGCCAGGATCTGATTTACTGGCGAGGGCAAACTTCAAATTTTGACGCTGACAGTGTTCTGGCATGACACAAGCAGGGAATGGGAGGAACAATTTGCTTTTCTATTGATATTGGGGTATCCTCAGAACCTAGAACCTAACGCCTTTCTCCCATTGGTATTTAGTATGCTCTCATGACCCTAATAGTACGGTCGTTCCCTCTTTCGCCGTCACGATTACCGCGCTTGAAACGTCTATCAGAAGCTATCGAGAAGGTCATCTAGCTTTCGTTTCTCTCCTGTGGTCACAGGTTCCACGATGAGGGAGTCGTCTTCCTTAAATAGGCTTCCAGATTCCGTGGGTTCGGGGAGAAGGCTGACGCGACCACCGACGCGTGCCAAAAGAGCTCGCATCTTCTCCATCTCCCTTTCGACCTCACCGTCACGTGTGACGAGATTCTCCTGCACGCCTGTACCATCATTGCCGGAGCGGAAGGGGTCAAGCAAAGTCTTCATGCGCCGCAGCCGCTTAACACGGGCTTTGACCTGCTGCCTCCCCTCGGCGAGCGACTTGAGACGGTCCACTTGTTCCGCATACCGCTTGGCTTCCATGGGATACATGGTCACGTCGTGATCAGCCGGCCATACCAAAGGAAGCGACTTAACGGCAGCATCCTCGGCTTTTTGTGCTCCTCTGTTAGTCATCGCGCCCAGAATGATTCTGATTGAAAGTCTGTTTAGCGTATCAGAAGAACGACTTACTCAGGTCTAAAGAGAGAGGCAATCCCTCGGCTGGCTTATCGTCCTGCGCCGTGGACGGCTGAGACAGGTAGAGAGCATCTATCTGCTCGGCGACGTGGCGGCTCGCCTGGTGCGAGTAAGCGCGTCGCGAATGCTGGAGTACGGCATTGTTGAGGCGGGCGACGACATGCTCAACAACCTGGTCCGGGATTGGGGATTCGACGGCCTCGTTTGCGGCGAGCCAGGAGCGGGATGGTTCAAGGGGCTGGGAGAGGAGACGGGTCTGGGCTGCGAGGAAGACTTGTTTTTGGGCGATTACTGTCGGGGGAGGGGCTTGTGCTGATGCCATCTTACTGCACGGGGGGTAGGCGGCTGTGTTACATCAACTGTGCGTTTGGCAGATGCTTGGATGGCGGATGTACCCTGACTGGGAGCCGAACAGAGGATGAATGGAATGGAAGGTACTGTAAAAGGGACGGAGACGCGGCCGGGCGCGCGGATACGGGGACGGCGATGGCGGGAGCGAGAAGCGGGGGCTGGACGCGTCGGGAAGGTGGAGCGTCGTCCAAGTACCCCCGCCCGCATGGTACGTACCTGCTCCCACCTCCCTACCTCCTCATTAGTCTCCTCCGACCTCATATCACATCCAGATCCTAACCGAGGAACAAAGTGTCATCCACTGGATCCAATTCATTATTTCTTTTTCCTCAGAAAAAAAACTCTCTCTCTCTCTCTCTCTATACTCACAGCTCCATGTCATAGCCCCATTTCTTAGCTTCCAGCAGCGGTCTAGCTCAATCTTGCTCCACTGGAAAAGATGAAAAGCTGTGAAAAGACTTCCAAAAGGGCGTCCCTTACTCACCATTTCCCAACCTCGAACAACCATATTTGCGCCTAGAGACGCAGACCTAACACGAGAAGCTCGTTCCTCTCGGGGCTCTCACCCATTGCCATCGCAAACCGTACCACAAGGCATGCCAGACATGTTGTTCAATCCGCTGATATCGAATCCTGTAGTTGTAACTAGTGCCGCTACCCGCCGCTTTGGCTCTACGCTCGCAGTTCTCCATCTATTGGAAGAAACACGGCGTTGAGATAGCACAGTAACACAAGACAGATGTACGCGCAAGAGACGGCACGAAGCGAGACGAAATGCCGTGTGTGGCGCGGTGCAGTGTTCGCAGCTCAGCTTTCTGACGACACGTGCCGCTAGTCACCACTCAGCAGTACCAGCGACGGCGGCGGCGGCAGCTCGGGCTTGCGTTTCCTGTCCTGGTGCTCGGCATCCGCGTATGCGGCCGTGTGATGGATGTGATGAGCCTCGTTGAGGCACATGCACACCGCTATGGGGCGCATCGAGCCATCTCTCTCTTCCTTGCCCAGCCCCGCTATCCGTATCGACACTAATGCGGTTCGCATGCATTTGATCCATCCCGTACGGCCGCATGGACTGAGCCTTTAATTCGAATCACTTGCCATCTGCACTTCAAGCCTTTCCACCTCACTCTGAGAGGCCGGGGGACGGAAGAAAAGCTCTTCTTTTGGAGCACCTCGCGTGGCCGAGTCTCCCGGAATCCTTCCCCTGCTCTCTCTCACTGGTCCCCTTTACCGCTGACCGGTGGCCTTACAGGTAAGCATCCACGTCCGGGTCCCGCAACGCCTTCCCAAGCGCCACCCTTCCATGTATAGTCTCCATGCCTAGAGCCTTTTGGATTCCAGCCGCCTTGTCAAGGGGCAGCGCCCCCTCGTCAGCCTAAAAGATTGCCCTGGTTCTCAAGGCGCATATTCCCACCTACTCGGCCGACGCAAAGGCGTTGCATAACGTCTTGTGGATGAAGTCCTTGCCAAGGTCAGCCTATCCAGCATGCCATGGTGCCATGGAACTCGTGAGACATGGCTTCGGTGCGCTGTCAAAACGGCTGATCCTGCGTGCCTAGCTTCCGTGATGCGTCTTTTCGCAGAGGATCCAGAAGTTCGTCTCCAGCCCTGCCCTGATCTAGCCTGCTTGGTGCTTGCCTGCTTGAGCGAGAGAAGCTATCGACCGTTGCCCCTCATACTTGTCCTTCTGTTGGCCCCCGCACTAAGGCTTACTGCCAAATCGAGACCAGCGTCCAAGACCCTGGGAAGTCGCCAATGCTCTGGCTGGGCTTTCAACTTATATGAAAGGTTCCCTTTCACTCGCTGCTCTGCTACGCCGTTCGAATATGCGACTCTGTCAACTCATTTCCCCGTTCTTCAAGAGACAAGAAACAAGCGAAAATAAAAGTGGCGGCGTTGTCTCACTGCCCAGTCAGCTCGACTTTGCGTCCTCTCAATCCTCTCCGAGCACCTTCGCAATGTTTCCCACTCATTCTCAACCAAAGCCTCCCGCCAACGGCTTCGTCGCGATTGCGCGCAAGGTCTACAACCCCATCGGTTTCAAGAAGGGTTACAACTTTACCCTGTTTGTCATTACGGCGGGAGGCATGATGGGTTTTGCCCTTGCCCGCATGATGTATTTCAACATTGATGGCGTCTTTTGCAACCCGGACCACGAACAGCGGACCCTTCCGGGCGAGTGCTACTTCTACCAGTCTGGTACGGGGCGGGCCGGCATTATAATGCACCTCGCCGGCATGGTCCCGGGTGGTTTTCTCGCCTGTTTGCAGTTCATACCTGTCATCCGCCATAAGGCCATACTGTTCCACCGTCTCAATGGGTATCTCGTCCTCCTCCTCAGCATTGTAGGCATCATTGGCGTCCTGATGATTGCCCGTCGTGCTTTTGGTGGGGGTGTGAGCATGCAGACGGTGGTGGGAACCGGGAGCATCATGTTTCTCGGCGCGCTGGGTCTTTCCATCTACAACATCAAGAAGCTCCAGATCGAGCAGCACCGTGCGTGGATGCTGAGAGCTTGGGTCTACGTAAGATAATACATTGTGCATCGTCTCTCCTTCACAGGATAAGAGACTAACGAGGCACGCTTCACAGGCCGGCTTCATCATCACCATGCGCATCATCAGCTTCCTAGCCGTCATGATTACGGCCGACACAGGTTATTACCAGGTCAAGCAGTGCTCCGTGCTGGACTTCATCTTCCGACACAACCAGACCAAGGTCCTCGATCTGTACCCGGGATGTGGCGGCTACTATTCGGGTGAGAGCCCCGGTCTTAGCGTCATCGTCCACAGCAACTATCACGCCCACCAGCCCGCTGAGATCGCGGCTGGTTTCACGTCCGTCTTTGACGCCGGGTCCTGGTTGGCTCTGGCTATCCATGCCATTCTTGTTGAACTCTACGTAGGTTTGGTCACAGGATCTCTTCTGCGGTCCTTCTCCTTCTCTTGGATCGACATGTCACAGCGAAAAACTGAGTGCTGACGAAAACTACCAGCTCCATCTGACCCCGGCGGAATCCGAACGTCTCCGCCGCATCTCATATCAACGCCAGCTCGATGCGGGTATGAAGAACGCCGGAAACGCGGGCCTGACTGTCCAGAGATTGGGAGACGCAGAACCCTGGCTGCCGCCAGTGGAGCTGCAGCGGTCAGAACATAGCAGATCTCCAAGCTCCGACGAAGAAATGAGAGAAAAGAGGGTAAGCGCTGCATGAGAGGCAAAGCTTTTTTGTACGATTTTCACGACGTGGAGCATGCGACCGATAGACGATGTCGCTCCAATCGGCACTTGACGACTACGAATGTATGACAGGCATGACGCACCATGATTTGATATGATTATATCGGGGTCTGTATTGTTGCATGGTTCACTTATATGGCCAGCCGGTTACCTTGTCATGTGTAGATGTTGTTTTGTTCGTTCAATCATATCCAGAGACTAAAGAATAGTAAATCAAACAAACCAACATCTCCCCCTATTCTATGACACATGACCCATTTTACAGACCGGACCACCAGTAGGTCTCGCCGACCTTGAAGCTGCCCTTGACGGCCTTGTCCGTCAAGACACTGCTGTCGCTGACAATGACCTCGTACTCTCCCTCCTCGGCGCACCACTGGTGGCGCTCCTCGTCAAAGTAGCTGGCGGCGTACTTGGCCTCGATATCCACCGTGACGTTCTTGCTCTCGCCCGGCGCAAGCGATACTTTTGCGAAGCCCTTGAGCTCCTTGAGGGGGCGGTTGATCTTTGCCTTCTGCTTGGGCGCGACGTAGACCTGCACAACCTCGGCGCCCTGCACCTTACCCGTGTTCTTGACGGTGACGTCGACGGCGATCTTGCCGTCCTTCTCTGTGACCTTGAGGTCGCTGAAATCAAAGGTCGTGTACGACAGCCCGTGGCCGAAGGGGAAGAGCACGGGGCGGTCAATGTACTCGTAGTAGCGGTAGCCAATGTAAACGTCCTCGCCGTACAACGTGCGGCTGGCCTCGGCGCGGTAGTTGAGGTAGGCCGGGTTGTCCTGTACACGCTCGGGGAAGCTAAGGGAGAGCTTGGCCGAGGGGTTGACATCGCCGAAGAGCACGTCGGCGATGGCGTTGCCCGTCTCGTTGCCGCCGTACCAGGCCTGGACAAGGGCTTTGACGTCCTTGGCCCAGGGCATGCGCACGGGGGTTCCCGACTGGTTGATGACAACGGTGTTGGGGTTCGCCTGGGTGACGGCCGAGATGAGCTTGTTGAGGTAGCCCGGCAGGTCCATGTCGGCGCGGTCGTTACCCTCTGTCTCCCAGTCGGCGTTGAGGCCGGAGCAGATGATGACCTGGTCGGCGTCCTTGGCGAGGGCGGCGGCCTTTGCGATCTCGGCCTTGTTATCAATGACCTTGCAGCCGCCGATGCGCAGGGCGCCGCCGCCGAAGACGACGTTGTCGCCCTGCAGCTTGGACGACGGGGCCGAGGCGAACTCGACCTTGAAGGTGTACGTCTCGCCCTTCTTCAGCTCGACGCGGCCCTTCTCCTCGAGGGTCGCGGCGCCGAAAAAGGCGTCTCCCTGGCGCTGTTTGGTGCTGTTGTCGATGACCAGCTTGTCGTTGACAAAGAGGTTGGCCGTACCGCAGACAATGAGGCCCAGCTCGTAGGTGCAGTCCTCTTCGGCGACGAAGGAGCCTTCAAAGTCGGCGTACCAGAGGTTAGATTTGAACTTGGGGTTGTAGTAGTCGACGAGCAGCAGCTCCGTCTTGGTCAGGACGAGCTCGTCGAGGCACTCGCGGCTGTGGTCCGTCGGGGGCTCGTTGTAGGCACGCATCGTCATACCGGGCTTGCCGCCAGCCGACTTGCAGACGTTACCGAGGAGAGGCAGGAGTTTGTGAGAGTAGGCGCCCTCGGTATACTCCGGGGGCGACTCGAGCTTCTTGCTAATACCTTCGAAGGGGGTGACGGCGTAGTAGGCAGCCAGCGAGGCGGAACCACCTCCGTGGTAGGTGGCAATCTTGGCGTTGGGTCCGATGACAACAGTCTGTGGTCGCGAGAGTCAGCGGTTGCCATCATGTCTCACATCCCATGAGTTCTCGCTTACCTTCTTGTCCTTCTTCAGGGGAAGCACGTTGTTGTCGTTCTTGAGAAGGACGATACTTTCACCGCCGATGCGTCTCAGCAACTCGGCGGTCTCGGGAGTGTCTCCCGTCTTCTCAGGGGCGCCCTCGGGAATGCCTGTGGCCACAGCCTTTTTGATGAACTTGAGCATGGCGCGAGCTCTCTCATCAAGCACGTGCTGGCGGACCTTATCCGTCGACACGTTGAACTTGAGAGGCTCCCCACGGAAGCGAGGGGGGCCGGGCATCTCGAGGTCGAGACCGGCGTTGGCCGCCTCCGTGGTGCTGTAAGTTCCGTACCAATCGCTCATGATCATTCCGTCCCAGCCCCACTCCTTACGGACCAGCTTGTCCAGAAGGTCGGAGTTCTCACTGCAGAAGGTGCCGTTGACGCCGTTGTAGGCCGTCATGAGGGCGCCAGGCGTAGAGTCGCGGAAGGTCAGCTGGAAAGGGAGGGCGTAGATCTCGCGCAGCGCGCGCTCCGTCACAATGCTATGAACGGCATTGCGCCTGTGCTCCTGGTCGTTGCAGACAAAGTGCTTAGGTGTCGCCTGGATACCGGTACTCTCGATGCCTCTCACAATGGCGGCGGAGCCGAGACCGGCCAGGACCGGATCCTCGCCAATGGACTCAAAACCTCGGCCGCCGAGCGGAGATCGTTGCATGTTGATGGTGGGGCCCAGAATACAGTGGGCTCCCTTGAGCTTGGCCTCCTCACCCATCTTCTTACCGGCCTCTTCGAGGAGCTCAGTGTTGAAGGTTGCACCGAGAGCCGTACCACAGGGGAAGCAGGCGGCCTTGATGCCATTGAAAAATTTGGTGCCGCGAACGCCATTGGGGCCGTCGGAGAGTCGAATGGAGGGTATGTTATGCTTGGGGAGGGCTTTGGTATGCCAGAAGTCGATACCTGGCGAGATTTGGACGTTAGCTTGCCATTGGCCCTTCGTGACACATGATAGGTAGTTTAACTGAGAGCGATTGGGCCGGGTGCGGAGAGCAGACTTACCCGCAAGAAGGTCAACCTTCTCGGAGACGGTGAGCTTCTTGAGCACCTCTTCCACGTCAAAGTCGGCCATTGTGAGCTCAGAAATGCGGTGGGCAATGCGAATGGACTGGGTATCTACAGAAGCAACTCAATAATGAACAGTACCGGCTTCAGACGTGAACAAGCAACGAAGAGAAACAGGCGAGAGAAGGGAGAGTGTGTAACAGGCAAGAGAAGCAGAGAGGATGATCAGGAGCTTTGCCGACGGGCCCTGATGTTAAATAGAGTGGTGACAAAGTCGAGAAGCGGAACAACTCCGGACGCGGCGGGATTTGTTTGATTCTGGGCTGGAGCTTGCCAACTTTTAGACCCCCGTCTCCTGTTATACGTAACAGGAGCTAGTCAATTAGAGGAACCGGCGGCGATACCGGATACTATATGCAAGCAGGGCATGTTCACATGAACAATAGCTAGCAACGAGGGTATTTCCCCAGTAATACCATCGTCGCCCCTCCACACGCGCTTCAGCCGACGGGTGAAAGGTGGAGAGATTGCCTGCTCCGGGGCTCACGAATTAGCTTGGGCTCACGAATTAGCTTGGGCTCATGTTGAGCCAAGGCCTTGAAAGATGAGAAACACGGTCAAGTGCGTCGACTCCGACATCCAATGCCTTTCAGTAGCGCAATCTACCCCACGTTGTGAAGGGATCCTGCCCCTCACTTGCCGGGTGAAGCTCGGGCGGGCTCTCCACCGCCGTGTTTTGGTTTGTCCTGGCTCCGGGTTTGAACCCCATCCGACAGCAGCGGATTGGCCGGTTCATTTTAGACATGGTGCTGAACGTCGTCCCGAAATCCCGTCAGACGACGTGATAGTGGAGCATTGCGATTCATCGACGCTTTCGCGCCGGCTAAAGTTCGGGAAATGGGCTATAGCGTCATAACGCGTCTAAGTTTAACCGTGGATTAGCCGGAGACATCGCGATGATTTGACGAGGATCAGCCGATGCCGCAGACAGTGTCAAGGTCGCCGTGACGACATTGCCAACCAATCCCATCGGTCGAAACGATCCACGATTGATTCCGGTTCTGGAAACGGGGACGGTATTCTTTGATGCCGATACTCTCCGGTTAGCAAATAGGGCATACACAGACGGCGTCAATGTCTCGTCGGTGGGTTTCAAGTTCTGTCGTATTTTTGCAGTCGGGTAAATGCGTGTCTCTGTGAAATGAAAACTGACTATCATCACGGCCAGGTGGGGACACAAACTTCGTGGCATCCGTGAATGCGTAGATTTACAGAGTCACGATATTTCACTTAGGCGCTCTACGCCTTTTGTTTGTAAGCTGTAGATGGCCGTGGAGGTGCAGCGACACGATCCATCTGTCAGCCAGCATCCCGAGCAAATCTCTTCCCGCGTGGAGCAGCCAGGCCGGGGAATGAAGCTCGGTGGCGGCTGGAGCATGGAACTGGTGTAAGCCTTCTCCGGCAGCAAATTCAGCCCGCACGGCCAACCGCCGGTCATACGCGGTGCCCCGTCAAACATTCAACTTCAACCGCCGGCCCGCGCACCCGGTCCACGGCGATACGCCGGGTTGCGAACCCTAAACCAGTAGACCGAGTTACCCCCTCTAGCCCATCAGCTCCGGTACCACGGCCCCATCCAACTGGTTATCTTCTTGCGATCTATCTCCCATTTGTCTCTTCTTCGTCGGGAAGCCCCGCCCACTTCCCACTGCTCGACCCCATGTGTCCATGTTCCCTATCTCGATAAGCGGCAGTAAACTGGGCATACCGAGGGTGCTCCAGCCGAGACCACTTCTGGGGCCGTCGGCCTCATTGCAAACCTCAGTGAGGGGTTTCCCTCATTGAACAGCCAAATACGGCATGACACGCTGTCGCCCACACGCCCGTCGCAGCTTGTTAGGTGGGAGAAAGCGATTGGATCGTAGGCTCGCGAGATCCCATTGCCTTTGGCATTCTACGGGACACTCATCCGTTGAACATGTTATGCTCCTTCCCGGATCTTGAACGTCGCCGACTCTGCCTAAAGGCGGGGAGATGGGCTCCCCATTATGACTTGCATGGCCCACATACTCAAACAGGTTTCCGATAAAATGTTCCTGATATCTGCGGTAATCACTGGGGGCCTCATTCGTCGGACCACATTTGTGCTCCCTAGTTCGCTTTTGACGATCATTAACTCGGAGCAAACCCCATTCAACGTGCATCTACGAGGCGGTCGACGCGAGGTTCCCTCCGGAGATGTGACCAAGAATTGTGGTTCGCCGAGCAGTGGCGAACATTGGCGGCACCGATGGTCTGGAGATCAGCTCTGATCTTGAACAGGGTTCTCCGGTTGATAACGGACATTTCTTCAGAAGGAGATGGATCGTCAAGGTGGGGGGGGCGTTGACCTTTATTCCGACTTCAAATGATTAATAAGATTCGTGCTGTGGCAATCTCTTATATGTGCCTGTCCCCCCTCCCGCGCGCGCTTCCAGATGTTGCTAGATGATGATTCTGTTCATCGGCCGACCCCATTGCCTGTGTAACAGCCGACTTTGGACGTGCCGAGTCGAGTATCGGGACGTTTATACCAGCGAAAAGGAGCCCCAATATATGTACAATCTTGAAATTATTCATCAGTCGGTTCCTTGAATGCATCCAAGTGAAGACGCAGCCGCTTAGCCATTGTTTGCTCACTCAACGAGCAATCTTGAGTCTTCGTTGTGGCCCCTATCGCGGGATGTAAGGGCAACATCAATATATAGAGTGGGCATACATCATTGCTGTCGTCTAATCATTAACGCAGGAGATAACACAGAGACTGAAGCAGGCTGGCACTTTCGGTCTTACCTCTATTGCAAGGCCCAAGACTTACTTGTTCTTTCATGTGAAGAAGTCGCCCGCTGTAACCACCAGCCGACATTCACGACGTGAGAATACCAAAGTTTTGAAGCACAACCAAGCAGATCAACGGCAGGATCCCAAGCCGCACTGAAACAGGTTCTGTTTTTCATTAAAGGCCATGTGAGAACCAATAGGCACGACATGAGAGACACGGTGACCGAAGCAAAGTGGAGAGTAAACTCAAGTCTGTTCACCAGAGCTTTATGAGACCAACGGATTGCTCACTCGGCGATTCCCCCGAGCGTCAACAGCCACAATGCGACAGACACAAGAAAACTTCAGCACATTCCTTAGGTCAACTTCCCCCTCCCCAGCCAGCCTCAAGATCATTTGTTGAACCCCTAGTTATGAACATATCCAAGGCGAAGGAGAAACAACTAGGTCAGCGAGCGAAGTTACACGGATTGTCTTGCTCGGACGCGCACTCGGGTTGTTCAAATGAATCACATGATATGTGAGCTGTTAAGTCGGAAGACGTTGCTCAAGGGCCCGCGCAGCCAAAGTCATGGTGACCATCGTATATACTTAAGAGGGGGGTAGGGTGTACCAGTTTGGCGGCGTACGTGGCTGCGCAGCTTTGATGGCCCATTCCCATAACGTCCTTAGCATCTCTGGAATACAACTCGGACTTGAAGTGCGCGTCGTAGTTCACGTTCCAAATCTCCTCACCATGAGGCTGGTATGTCACGATGTCCGTGACCCTCAACAGCCACATTACATCCTTCACAAGACCTCGGCCCAATCAGCCAAGAGGTTCTTTATCTGCAGCTGCTGACCAGGATGTCAAACAGGTTTCGAACTCGCTCCATCTCCTAATTCTGAAAGAATGTCATCATCCATCCTCCAAGGGCGGCACCGTTGGGCGGAGGCCAAGTCCGACGCGGTATCGCGCATTGGGAAGAGAGCTTCGGGCAGCCCGGACAGGGACCGAGTTAGCCCCCCGCACCAGAGTTTCTATTTCCGGGCAGATTCCGCCCAGCGGAATCCGGAAAATGCCCCCTACCCCCTAACAGCACATGTTTTCCGGTCAACATGAGCGCTCAAATGAGACATGGAACCGCTTGCCTGGTACATGCTCATACCCTCCAATGGCATGGCTGTGATATACTGAAGCTAAGTCGTCCAAGAGGTTGGCAGCAAGTATGCCAGGGGGTTTCGCACGAAAAAGGACTGAGGAAAGGGGCAGGTCTTTGATTGAACAACGATCGAGGAAATGACCGAGAGGACGAGATGAAGCGGACGGGGAGAATGCCGAGTGTTGTAGGCGTATCCGATACCGAAACGGGCGGCAGGAGCCATGAGGTCTGTTCGGCGTTTGCAGAAACAGAATAACCAAAGACCGAACAGACCAATTACTAATTAGTCCAATCCATTCACATACAGAACGCGCAGTAGCGACGTAGCATGTATAGTTACATGCAGCTATTTCTTTGTTCCTCGCCTTATAGAAGGGGTGGGATAAGAGTACATAGCCTTTTCTCCTCACCGCGATCGCGATCGTTGCCAGTCTGAGGCAAACGTAGGCGTACCACTAGCCGTTGTGCAAATGCCGACGGGGACGTGGGAGGCTGGGCGTGCGCTTGCAAAGCCACCCTAATCCCTCGGCCACCGCGTCCGTGATCGGGAAGCCTACTGACAACCAAGAGCGGCAAGCAGGTTTCTCGATCATCGTTGACACACGGGCAGTGCCTAATTGGGGGTGTCGGTCCAAAGAACAGACCCGAGCCTGGGTAACGGCACAAAGTGTAAATCCTTCTTCGAATGTTCGAAGCTTCGACAATGCTTCGATGGTGCTTCGATAGCCCAATCTCGGATGCACAGAAACGGAAACACACCGCCATGTCGCATGGACTCTCGCAAAAGCAGCTCCAAGCGCAAGGTTGCCACGTTCTCCTCAGTCCTTCACACCATCCCGCGGCGTCGGATGAAGGTCGTGCGGATGGCGACGGGCAGCGCAGTACATGGCAAGCCGCGATGGCGAGGTACTCGCTAATGGCGATGTTACGGTGGTGGTGGTGTAGTTCAACCGACGACAGGCTGAACACTTTCAAAGAAACAACATGCCGAATCATGAATCGAGTCGTCTTCCTTTCCCGAACATCGTCTCATTGAAGCGGTGTGTAGTTTGCATGAGGTAGCACTGACCACATGGCGATGAGCTCGTGGCGACCAACGGTGCCT